GCAGCCAATTGCGCACAGCGACATGACTCTCACAAACAATCGTGGATTAACCACGTTTCTTTTTCAAGGGATTCCTACCTCCAGGAAAGCGATCCGCCAATCGACTCTCTACTGGGTTCCTACTTCCTGCTTATTATTATTATTATTATTATTATTAGTGGCTAAGGCTAAGGCTAGGAGGAATTCCAGGTCTGTGCTCCTCTCTCACCCGTTTGGTGATGTGCTGTGGACCTGAGCTCTCATCCAGGTGCCCTCCTGTGGCCTTCCCTCTGAACTGCAACCTCCAATTGCAACGTCCAAATATACTTTCAGGTGAGGCACCATCTCTCTCGCTCACTCCCTCTCTCCCCAAACTCAGAGCGTTTGATACAGCGCCTTATCATATCGTTGAGACGTCTCAAAGCGCTTCACAGAATACACTGTAAAGTGAATCGACTTTGTATTTTGTGGGCAAAATCAGCAGCCAATTGCGCACAGCAGCGTCCCACAGTCGTGGATTGGAGCGACCAAATTATTATTTTAAAGGATTGTTACTCCCTGAAAGCGATCAACCAATAGACTATCAGTCAAATCGTGGTTAAGATTAAACAAATGCTAGTAGTTCCAGACAGGTCTCAGCAGTTGCTTCCCCTGTGAGAGGCTCCGAATGATGTAACAGTGAATTTAACACCTTGTCATTCAGCATTTTACAGCGCAGGGAGAGGCCATTTAGAACATCACCAGGTTCAGGCACGAAGGAAGAAAGAAACTCGAGGATAAAGGGTGACAGAGGGTGACGCAGAGAAAGAGCGAGCAAGTGCTCAGGAGCTTGCGAGAATAATAATAATCCTTGCATTTGATAAAGTGCCTTATCACGCCTCGTTTCGCCCACAAACGATAGTCAGTTCGCTTTACAGTATATCCTGTGAAGCACTTTGGAAGTTTTGCTTAAGGTATAGAAATCCCCAATTCCTTGAAAGTTGTTTGACCTAGTTTTATATTGGGCAGCGGTGTTGGGAAAATCTCGAATTGCTGCCAAAAGCTCTCAAGAAACTCCCTCTCACAAAGTTTCTTTAATTAAACACAGACTTTCTCCTAAACTTTAGATGGACGCTGCTTAGCAACAGCACCCTGGAGACATTCGAGGGGATATATCCCACTGCTTTTGCTCCAGAACCACAGTTTTCCCAGGTTTTTACTTGAAGCAAAAAAACATAAAATAACAATCCTTCTTGCATTTGATACAGCGCCTCATCAGGTCTTCTGGACGTCTCAAAGCTCTTCACAGAATATACTGTAAAGTGAATTGACTGTATATTTTTTGGGCGAAACAAATATATTCTTTGAAACACTTTGGGACCAGTCGACGAGTTGATAAGGTGCTGCATCAAATGCGAGGATTATTATTATAAAGTATTTTATACAAATAGTAAATGCAGTATAGTGTGCTGCTAGGTAGACAAATGTGGCAAACAATCTGAACCTCATACAGCCCTGGGCAGATTGGACTTGGATGAGATAACATTGCCTCAGCCCTCCTGGCACCCAGCACTTTCCAATAAATATCCCTCCGAAAGGTTTCCGTAGCAACCAAACAACCAGGAGTCCAACACACAACCACGGGCAGCTCAACCTGAAATAAGGGACACAAGATTTCTTCTTCTATCTCCAGCCCGGCTCATCGGCAGGACCTGAAAAGGCCGTCCAGTCACTGGGGCTGCGGTGTCATCCCACTCAGCTCCTGTTCACCCAGCGAGCCAAAGCCCTAGTGGGTAGATAGGGTGGTCCTAGCTGGACAAGTAGCGGGAAAGCTTGCCATGTGATGATGGCCACGGGGTGGAGGCGATGTCAACAGCTGGATTGTGCATCTTTGAGGTTGGGAACAATGCAGAAGGAAAGGCTGTGAGCACAGCAAGTTCCGTGGGCAGGATATTGTCGAGGAAGGACATTTGAGGTTAGTCGGGGGAAAAGACAAAACTATTCAGAGAAGAAAGGCTGACTCTCAGGTGACTGGGCTCCTAACACGCAAGGCACAGGGAATGTTTGGCCAGGATACCATAGGAGAGAGAGAGGAACATTAAAGATCCCTCTGTTTATCTGATAGAAGAGGGATCTTTAATGTCCACCTGAGTCGGCACAAACTGGGAGCTCCATTTAACATCTTATCCTCTGGGAATGCTAGTATTGGCAATGGAATTCTGTACACTCCCAGTCAAGTCTGAGGGAGAAACAGCAGCGGATTAACGGGATCAGAGAATTGAGATCGTAAGTAGTGGAGAAAGAGATAAGAGAATAAGATAAGAGTGTGTATTTGGAACATAATTCAGAAACATCTCTATCACACACACAGCTGAGGAAATACAAAATACAATTGGTTTTAATTTAAAAGCAAAAAAAAACACACAAAGCCAGCTTTAAACATCTAATAGTTTCTGATTACAGTATGTACACAACATAAAAGTAAAAAAAGGACACATTTTCTTGTGTTTTTATATATATATATATAAAAAGAGGCACAAGGTAAATACAAGATTATTTTTCCTAGTTGTTAAGTGCACAAATAAAGGAACAAATATTTGTCCGTGGCAGACGGAGGCTGGCCTCAGTCCCTTTACCTTCCCCTGCTTTCATGTCGCACGTTTCCTGTGTTTTGAAACCTAGGGCAGTTTTTGTCTGGTTTCCGTAACACCATATACAGCCTTGACTTGGTCTTGTTAAAATCAAAGTTATTCACACTGGCTGCAACCCAGGTTTACACACAGGACAAGTAGTGCAGTGCAATGCAACAGGCCTCACAGACACAACCCATGTGTGTGTGTATATATATATACATACATACACATACACATAGTAAAACTTGCGTAAGTCTGATCTGTATAAATCGTACATCTGCTCAAGTTCTAGTCAAGAGTAGTGATTCCGAGAGAGTGATTCCGTAATCAATGAGATGTGTCTGTGTGCGCTGGGAAAGCGACAATATTAACACCCCCCCCATCCCTCCACACCCTGTCCCCATTCCAATTCAACTCTCAGTTGGCTTTAACATGAGTTTGGGGCTCAGCACAGGCAGACTGAGAATCTCCTACACCTTATGCCCATCAATGGACTAAGTCAACGTATTCATGAATATGTTTAGGAAGGCAGACTCCAAATCCACTGAGTACGTCACGATTCCACAGAGAAGTGGCCCAGAGAACTCTCTGCCTACAGTCCTTCGAGCTGAGGCCAGACTTCCTTCTGGGGGAGAAATTCTCCCCGAAAGTCTGAGATCGACTCTAATTAACAATGGCATTTCAGAGCGTCCAGAATTTGGCAAATCGTTGTGAAGTCAGCCTTACCTTCGAAACCGTTTTCTTTTCTGTTACACAGAGCAATTTGGCACGGAAACGGGCTGTTTGGCCCAACTAGTCCGTGCCGGGTGTTTATACTCCACGCGAGTGTCCACCTCTCCTGTAACCTCTTCTCCCTTGTGTCTACATCATGTTTTTTTTCTCTTAAATAAACTGATGCTTCATCCACGTGACATTGGTAAGCCGGGAAGTTGACAGTTGGTAATTGAGATACAGTCACTCTGTTGTATCTCTCCCACCAACCCCCAATTCCCCACTTCCCCCGCAAGCCCCTTTTGCCCCAGCTACAACAGAACACCATCACCACCAGATGATGATGGCACAAGATTATGGGAGGACAGGAGATAGACACAGTATAGAGAAGACTGAGGAATGGACTAAATTCAGTTAGATGTAACACAGGGATTCATCCCACTCTGGCTACACTAGCAAAGCCCCTCTACATCCTCCACAGGCCCCCACCTCCCCTATTCCCCCCCCCCGTGTGTTTCTTTGATGTGCAGGACAGTATGGAAACCCTCTTAAGTTGTGTTACCTCCCAACCCTGTGTTTTTTTCTTTCGATTCATTATTTTCTGTTGTAGACGAGTGGAGTTTAACAATGTCTGGCACCAGTAACTTCCTCCTCACTCACTCCATCCATCTATGTTACAGAAGATTTGGCATCAAACATGGTGACGGATCATTATCTGCCGTGAAAATGATGGCGCTCACGCTCACACACAATCACACACACACTCACTCACTAACACATTCATTCACATACACACAAACACACACACACTCACTAACATTCACACACACACAAATACACTCGCACATACATTCACACACTCGCTCACACACCAATCCTCTGGATGGTCTAAATACAGTTAAACACTTGTACCCAATCCGATTAAGTATGTCCAAATTATCATCATTCTGCCACGTTTGGTAAGTGCAATGTGTAAAAAATAACACATGGGGGTACCAGGACTTTGTGAACACCCTATACATTCTCTGTAACACCCCCAATCCCCCCCACCAGCCCCACCCGCCTCACGTCAACCGGAAGGGTGTAAACCACTGGCGTCTGGTGTGTAAATACAGACCAAATACAGACCATTACACAGACCTGGGTGTGTAAAAGATCTATCAAAGCAGCTGCTCTGAGTTGTGTATAGCACTGAGATGCTTAGCTTTCGCTTTTCGGAAATTCGGTTGTAATATTCCGTGAAGAATCCTTTCCCATGGCTCCACCTGCGGAGCTGGTTACAGTCTGAGAGAGAGAGAGAGGAGTTGTCTGTCTAGGACAGAGCCCCTGAGCGGTCCCGCCAACATAGTGCTATATTTCTCCGTAGAAAGCGACAAGAACAAGCATTTATATAGTGCCCCCCGCACAGGGTAGCGGAGCAGAGAGCTCGACAATGGCGGAGCGTGACTCCTCGGGTAAGTTAAGGTAAGGAGGCCAACTGCCTCCATTGTCCACATGCACATAATACTTGTTTCCCAGTGGCAGCCGAAACCCCACTGGCATCGGGAGAGGAATGTACTGTTAGAGGCAGTGCAAGTCGTCATTAATTGGTCCATGATGAGGTTGGCCAGCAAAAGACCAAGCTGGGTAATTGCCATATATATATGTGCGTGTGTATAGTGTGTATAGTGTGTGTGTGTGTGTGTGTAGTGTGTGTGTGTGTATATAGTGTGTGTGTGTGTGGCTTAAAGTATAATTAAAAATAAAAAGGTAAATATAACACGTAATGCATCCTTCTGTCCATTCGGCCGGTCTCTAGCTTCAGCCCTGCTTGCTGAGGATCAGGTTCCCTTTATCGACTTGAAACCTTCTCTCCCGCTTTCTCCTTTCGTGTGTGCTAAAATCCTGGACTTCCCAGTTCTTCCACCTCCAGATTCCCTGCGTTCGCCAGCTCACTCCGATCCAGCGAGGCCTCAAATCAGGATCTCCACCATCTCGGCGTCAGCCAGGTCTTGCCCAAAGAGGGGAGGGGTTCCCCTCACATCAAACGCTCCTCCTCCCAGAGAAGGTAAGGTATCTGTCCCTGGAAACACAACACAGCGAAGCTCAGTACAGCACCTTGTCTACACTTTTCCCCTTTCCTTCAGGGCGACGGCTGATGTTCAGAGGATCGCGTGTGAACTCGAGCGCCAACCAGGCCAATAGCACATTTTCTTAATCTTAAGGAAAGAAGCGAAGATCAAGCCTTTCACTGACAAATAAAATGCCGAGAGAGAGAGAGAGAGAGAGAAAGCCGATTAAACTGTTTGCAAAGGGTACAGCTAGTCCTGTATAAAGTGAATTGCCTGTGCATTTTGTGGGCGAAACCCCCCCTCACACACACACACAACCCCCCACACACACAAGCCCCCACACACACAACCCCCCACACACACAACCCCCCACCACACAACCCCCCAATACACACAACCCCTCACCCCCACACACACACGGGGTGTACCATGGAGGGCAGGGGGTGGCCTGCTCGCACTGGGAGGCCACGCTCCCTGCAATGTCGTGGTCAGTGTCGGGCTGGCCACGGGTTTGCTCTGCTCGGGACCCCTGTCCGTCTGGGTGTAGCTGTCCCGGCTGCCGGTCTTGGAGTGAGCCAAGAGGAGAGAGGGGGTGGTCGGGGCAGGCGAGGCCGAGCGAGACTCACTCCGATCTGTGTTCAGCAGGAAACCTTTTATATCAAAAAAAATACGCTAATTAATAAAATCACATAATAATAATAATAATAATAATAATCCTCGCGTTTGAACCAGTGCCTTATCACGTCGTGGAGACGTCTCAAAGCGCTTCACACCAATACTGTAAAGTGAAGTGACTGTGTATTTTGTGGGTGAAACGCAGCAGCCAATTGCGCACAGCAGCGTCCCCACAAAAAGCCGTGGATTGAGTGACCCAAATTATTATTATTATTAGGCGCTATACCAAATGCTAGTATTATTATTATTATTAATCTTCGGTTGAATCAGCCAACGGGACGTCGGATTAACATCACAACCCAAAAGGCAACACCACTGACATTGCACCACTCTTCCCCCAGTCCCCCACAACCTCCCACCACTACCCACCCCCTCTGCGCTGGAGCAGTAGCCTGGACTGTCCACTCAAACCCCACACCCCCCACCCAACTCAGAGCTGGAACTCCCAGCGAGGGCAGAGCTTAACTAAGATCCTTCACAATGTTCTTACCCAAACTGCCTTTCCAGTTCCTGTCCTCCTTCCTCTCCTCTATGATGCGGTTACTGGAGAGCGAGGTGGGGTAGGAGGGCAGCCCCGCAGTCGCGTTGGCTATCGAGGCCAGCGACTTGGAGGGTCTCAGAACAGTTGGGGGCTCAGTCTTCAGCTGATCTCTCCGGGACCTTTGCTGCAGGACCTTGATCATAGCGTCCTTCTCAATTATCTGAGCGTGGAGTGTCTTGATCCTGGGAACACACACACACACACAGGGAACATGAAGTCTATACATATAATAACAATAATCCTTGCATTTGACATAGCGCCTTATCGTGTCGTCGAGACATCTCAAAGCGCGTCACAGAATATACTGGAAAGTGAATTGACTGTGTATTTTGTTGTCGAAACACGGCAGCCAATTGCACTCAGCAGCGTCCCACAAATAGTCATGGATTGAGTGACCAATTTTTTTTTGAGGGATTATTACCCCCAGTAAGCAATCCGCCAATCGACTAACATCCGGGTTCCCAGATCAATTCAGACCTTTGAAAACTGTTGGTTTAAGAGTGTGAGGATATAGGTTCGTTCCCAGAGGAATCAGCTCAAGCGGAGACTAGACTCTTCCTCATGGTGGGGGGGGGCGGGTAACAGATGGCAGGGAATTAGGAGTAAAGCTAGCACATGTGGCACCAGCCGTCAATTATAACATGGCATCGAAAGGAAGACAAGGAACAGATTGCTTCTTGGCTTAAGAACTAAACACTGGCATTAAAAAGAAATAGAAAATAATCCTTGCATTTGATACAGCGCCTGGAATACCAAAACATCTCAAAGCGTTTCACAGGAGAAGTGCTGGCACCAACTGCCACACAAGCAGAGCCTCAGAACAGCCTTAACACTAAGATTGTTGGTAAAGATACCGTGAGGAACTCCCTCACTTTTCCGATCGTGTTATGGGGGACCTTTAACTCCTGAACAGGCAAACTGACTTTTGGTTTAAAATCTCAACATCTCACCCAAAGGATGAGGCAGCCCTCCCCCAGTGTCAGCCTGGACTGTGAGCTCAGAGACTTGTCGCGAGACTTGAACCCACAACCTTCGGATTCGGAGGCTGTTTCTCAGTTGGTAGTTGTCTTATCTCCTCACCTGCTCTCCATGTCTAAGCACCTCCTGTTGGCCATTAAGATTTCTTCCTCCTCCTTCTGAATCCGTGCTTCCAGGGAATTATTGTAGCTGCTGTTTGGAGAGTGACCGAGCACGGTGGTGTCCCTGCCAACGGGCAAGAACTCAACGTCAAACACAATGCGGTAACCAAAACTAGTGATAACATTTGACTCCAAACCACACAGCACTAGAATGTCATCTCTTCCTCCCACCGCACCCCCCCCCCCCGCCCCCACCACCCACACACACACTACAGTAGTCTAGTTTTGTGGTTAAGTAGATAGTTGTAGCGTTAGCATTTATCTACTTTCCTGGTTGATCCTGTCAGCCTTTTTCCAAACTTAAAATTGCTTTGAAAAAAAATTAAAGAGAAACTTTAATTGTTGCTTTGTTCCGATGAGCTACACACCCAGCAGTTGCTTAAGTCTTTACATAAATGGGGCTCACTCATGCCATGGCTTCTGCCTGCCAACCCTTCCCTCCCTCACACGCCCTCTCCCCACTCCCAACTCCCCACCACCAAGTACTCCAAATAGCTGAGCGTTCCTGGCTCTTCAATTGACGTCCCGTTTGGTGACGCCATTGGTTCTTTCCCCCCCACCACCACCCCCCAACCCCCCCCCCCCCCCCCCCTCTCTCAGCCCAAGGCAAAGCTTCTCTCCTTTCACAAGGCTGAGCTCATTCAGTCACCTGCACTGTTTGTGGTCTGACTGCAGTAACAATACATCATTCACTGAAAGAATGAACAGCAGCTAATGGCTTCCATCAGTCCTGTGTGTGAAACAGATTACATGCCTGGCAGATGTGTGTGCAACCTGGTAGCTTGCCAGCATTCTTCCCTCCCTCTCTCCCTCCCTCCCTCCCTGTGCCTGGATTCAGGGATGAATTCCATTAACAAACAGAAATGGGAATGAACATCAGGCAGTTTATCCTGGCTCGAATAGGGAGCGTTCTCTCCCCCCCGCCCGCCCTCACAACACCACTGAACAATCCACACCAGTGACATCTGTCACAAAAATATTGGCCCCAAATTTCACCCAGTCTCAGGCCAAGAGTCAACAACAACGACCGCAACTTGCATTTACACAAGAGCCCTTTACGTGGGTCAGTGTCTCAGAAGCGCTTTAACAGTGGTGGAGCCTGACCCCGAGCAGGAGGGAGGGGTGGGGGGGATGGTTGGTGGGGATGGTGGGTGAATCTGTGTAAAATTCCTCAGCCGTGTCTTTGTTGTATGGTGTGTCACCCCCCCCACACCCCCCCGATGGCTTACCTCTGAGCCGCGACTGTAGCAGCTGCATCCAGAGCAAACTGACGCATCACGCTCTCCTCCAGGTATTTCTGCTCCCAGCGGGTCATGTCCGCCTCCAAGGCCAGGATCCTCTCCTCCTTCTCCCGCAGCATCTCCCGCAGGCCCGCGGCGCTGGGCTCCGACCCCGTCACCATCTGCGGCCCCCCCTGGCGCTGCCCACACACAAGACCGATACAGTGAGGGCGGAGGGCAAGGACGCGAAGGCAGGTCACGCACAGCACCGCGGAGGGTCAGCTACTCGCTGCCGCAAACCCAAGGGAATCAAAGGTGGTGGAATGGAACCTAGGAACAGGAGGAGGCCATTCAGCCCCTTGAGCCTGTTCCGCCATTCTAGTTGGCCTGTCCCTCAACTCCATTTACCACCTTTGCCCCATATCCCTTGATAATAACAATAATAATCCTCGCATTTGACCCGGCGCTTGATCACGTCGTCGAGACGTCTCAAAGAGCTTCACAGGGTGCACTGTGAAGTGTAGTGACTGTGTGTTTTGGTACCTGCTGTTGCCGGAGGGATTCCAGCTCCCTCTCCAGCCGGGTCCGGAGCCGGTATTCCAGCTGCTCCCGTTTCTCGCAGGCCGCCTGCAACTGCACCAGAGCCTGCTGCATCCGCTCCACCTTGTCCACGTACACCTGCTTCTTCTTCAGCTACAACCGCAGACACAGACGCACAGACACAGACAGGTCACGACCGCAGCCGGAGACAGAGCCAGAGACAGGTCAGACAGGGAAGACTGTGAAGGGGGAGAGGGAGGGAATAAAGAAGGGGAAGGGGGAGAGGGGCGGGGTGGTGGGGAGGGGGGCAAAAGTGGGAAGAGAGTGGGGGAGAGAGAAAGAGCGAGAGACGGAGATGGCAGCTGTGGGAGTAAAGTGGGGGGAAAGGGAGAAAGAGAGAGAGAAAGAGAAAGAAACAGGGGGAAGGGAGACTCAAGTAACAAGCTGACAAAGCAGCCTCCCTCCCTCCCTCCCTCCCTCCCTCTCTCCCCAATGACCTCTGTTAAGCTCGACAGCTATCGTCAGGAGTTGGCTGACGGACACGGGGGCATTGTTAAATAACCCCTTTATCAGAACATCCTGTGGGTCACACCTGTGGTCTGGAAAGGGTTAAGGGCGAGCGAGGCGAGGCCTGTGGAAACCTCACTCCAGCCTTTGCCAAAGCCACTCACTGTGCTCAGGAAGGGCGAAACTTCCTTTCGGCTCACGGGGACGGGGAGGGAATGTGCAACCGAAGTCCTGACTCTAAACCCGGGAACTCGGAAGCCGTTTCCCCTTTTAAGGGGCTGCGGGAAACGAGCTTCCGAACCAAGCCCTGGGGGGGGGGTTAGAGGATTTGTCACCGTTCTCCCCCCCCCCCCCATCTTAACTCTTCAGACAGAATAATCTCCAGATTCAGACTAAAGCGGATTTTCCTCCACCCCCGTACTGCTGGCCACCAGCCACTAGAGGGCAGCAACAGCTCCTGGGGCAAAACTTGACCCTTCACCAATTTAAGCCCCAGGACGCTACCCCCACCCCCCCCCCCCCCCGCGCGTGTGAGGGGCGTGATGTATAAACTCGAGCTGCCGTCCCCGCGAGTCTCTTTGCCTTCTTCATTGTTCTAATTAGATTTGGGACTAAACTGCAAAACTCGCCCCCAATTTACACGTGAAACGCCGAGAAGGTCTGGACGTCTAGAATTTCGCACGCACACACATACATGTGCACACACGCACTCACGCGCACACACACACACACGCACACATGTGTACACACGCACACACACACACGCACACACACACACGCACGTGCACTCACGCGCACACTCACACTCCCCTCCTCCTACCTCTTCCTCCATTTTGACCACGTTGCCCTGCGTGTTGTTTAAAGCCTGGTCCCGGATCTCAATGTGTCTCCTCTGGTCCTCGTTGGTAGACCGGAGGGCACCCAACTCCATCTCCAGCTTCTCATTTTCCCTCAGGTTTTCTTTATCTGGGAAGGTGTGGGGGGGAAGGAACGACAGGAGAGGAGACGAGAGGAAACAATGAGGTTTGTTTCAAGACAACTCAATGTAAAACTTTGGTTTATTGTAGAGCAACGTTCACTTATACAGCGCTCTACACATGGGATGAATGTCTCAAATGTCTCTCTTCACAGAGACAATTCGGAACACCAAGCGAAGAGGAGTGGAGAGGAAAGAATTTAAGGGTTGTTGACCAAAACATTGAGGTGAACGGTTAACCTCGAAGATCGTTGGCCAGGACACTGGGAGACCCCACTCCTTGTCCTTTGGGATCTTTAACGGCCGCCCAAGAGACGGACAGATTGAGAGCCCCAGGTTTAGAACCAATGTCAAGTTTCTTGAGGTCCAACAGGAGCACCATCCAACCCTCACCTCCCGGACCTTCCTGTGTGGGGATCAGTTGCTGAGGGCCCCGAAAGGGAGAGAGTCAGAAGAACCAGCACAAGCCACTCGGCAATGATCTAGTGAGTAAATCACATGCTTTGTGCAATCGTTACAAGAATGTCCAAAGGCTAAGCCAGTAAATATCTTCACCATTACGAGTTTATTAGTGCAACAATGTCCTGTCTGTCTGGTTCTGAAAGCCATTGGAGACACACCTCAGCATTCTCTTCTGAAACTTGGCAGGTCTGGTTTATATTGTCACATGTATTCTCATATACAGTCTACTCTCACCCTCTCTCTGTCTCGTTGGAACAAGATTGTCAGGAAATCGAAGATTAACGTGAGCCTCGTTAGTCTGTGTGACCCGAGTCTTCACGTAGGATAACGTCTCAAAATGCTTCACACAGACAGAGATAGATGGGAGAAGGGGAGGAAAGAGAGAAGGGGGCTGGCGGAGAGGGGGGAAGTGACAATAGACCCAGTTGAAGTGGTAGGTTTTCAGGTGGGATACGAAGATAGATAAAGTGGAGTCGAGGCGGGGAGGTGAGGTGTGACCATGTGCTGAAGTTGAGAGATCAGCCTGATGGGGATTTTAGGAGCAGTGATTGGAAAAGGCAGCCAGTGACGGATGGAATTAAGCAATGACGGAGGCTGTAATCAATGGGTTAATGTCCTCGCGACACGCAATTCCTCTCAGAGTCAGGTGTGGTGCTAGCGTCGATGGCGATGGTGAAAGCAGCCGCGGTTAAAGGGACCCACTTACTCTGAGCGATGAGCTGAGCGATGGTCTTGCGGTTGTCTTCCGAGCTCTCATACTCTTTCTCAGCGAGCTGCCTGGTCACGGACTCCAGACGATCTGAAATTCCCACAGAGACCCCGTGTGAGGGCGAGAGATGTGCAGAGCGAGTCCTGAACTACATATATTATATATTATATATATATGACACGAGTTATGCAAGTTTGTCTGTAACTCATCAGAACATGCCCCAGTTCTGACGAAGGGTCGTGGACTCGAAACGTTGACTCACTATCTGGGGAGACAGTGTATAGTTTGGGACTCGATGTGTCAAGCCACTGCCAGGACTGGAGGGAAGGCAAACTGGATGGACCTTTCTCCCAGCAAATTCCTGTGTTCTTATGTTCTTTGTAGTGAGTGGAATTTGTGGCCAACATTCTTGGGCAATATTGGAGCAGGTTGGTTGACGAGAAAACATAAGTAAATTAGCTGACGGGGAAATCAATTCCACAAGTTCGCACCCGTCGAATACCTGTCTCGTGAGATCACATGAACACTCGCTGGTTTGCAGTCCACACCTCATTCTTTCCCACAGCTCACCTGTTGTGCACCTGTTCGGCGATGTTTGGCCAAGTTTCCTTTCTGAGCTCTTCACCTTAACGACTCTCGCACTTTAAAAAAAAACTCCTTCCTCCCCCCCCCCCCTCACCACACAACACAACACCTCTAATCCAGAACATCTCGACGGCTTTGCAGGGAATGGCGATCGGGTGTAGTGACTATTTTTTGTAGACAATTGCGGCTACTGTTTTGCGCACAAACACAAAGTTTAACTGTGGAGTTTGTCGCCCAGGACATTGGGACAGAGAAACTCCCTTCTCTTTTCCAACAGCACAGTGGAGATCTTTAAGTCCACCCAAACAGGACCTAGATGGTTCAACGTGTCATCTGGGGGATGAGTTACACAGGGGGATAGGAGCACAGAAACATTCGATCCAGCTATTCCGTGACGGTGTTTTACTCCACACGAGAGCCTCTGTTCTGACGTTACCTCTCATGTCTCGGTTGAAGTCGTGCAGCCTGCGGACCTCCCCCTCCATCTTGTTCCTCATGGCCTTTTCCAAGGCTTCTGTCTTGGAGGATGACTTCACCAGGTTCTCGTACTCCTCCGAAACCCGCTCGATTTCCATCTCCAGCTGCAACATTTTTTTTTTGGTCAGCCGGGTGTCTGACACAACTGAGAATTCCAGGCCTCCCACTTACACATGGAAATCCCAGAGATAGATTGTTGGAATGGAACGCACTCTTTCTCTCTCTCTCTCTCTCCCCCTGGAGAGACGCATCCTGCTTACCTAATCCTGGGGAGTATTAGGTGCAGGCTGGCGAGAGCCAAGGCTTGGGGGGACCCCAGATTCCCTGCTGGACTCTAACCAGCTAAACCCGCATAGCTTGCCATTGAGACCACAGCCTGGCAAGCTTTCCCGCTATTTGTTCAGCTAGGACCATCCTACCCGTTAGGGATTTGGTTTGCAGGGTTAACAGAGCTGAGTGAGAGGATTCCCTGTGCTGAGGTGCAACAGGAGAAGACATGGCTTTTCACTATTAGCTCCTCTCTAGCCACCATGGGCCATGAGGTGGTGGGGGGGTGGGGGCTTGGACACAAACACCAGTCTGGAAGCCTGGGGTAAGCATTGGGGGGGTCGAGCGCTGGGGCGATGGCTCTGTACCTTGTGCAGTTTGGCCACTTTGTCGTAGTATCCCTCCAGCTCGTGTCGCAGCGCCCGGTTCTCCTCCGACAAGATCTCCACCATCTGCTGAGCCCGTGAGACAATGACCAGAGGGTCTGCCTGCAACTGAGGGTGTAGGATCTGGGGCTGGGGGGTCTTCAGCCTGGGCGAGGGAGGGGGCAGGGTGGCTGAGCCAGACCCCATCGATGTCAGGGAGGAGGTCTGGCTATGGTGGTGAGCTCGCTGCTGCTGATACAATAGCCCCTCTTGCATCTGCCTGTTTAGATGAGAGAGCAAAGAACACTCAATCAATCAGTCAATCATCACCACATTTTTTTCACAGCGTCTCAGGACTTCGAAACGTCTCACAGCACTTAGAGATTGTATCCCACAAACCAATGAGTGAATGACCAATGGATCTGGAGGATTGTTGGCCAGGACACTGGGAAAGCAAGCCACCTCTCTACGTTCTGACTCCTTTAGACGTTCATCCCTCACCACCTCCACACAGGCAAAGTCCTGAGTGACTGAGTGTCTTGCTTTGCCTCCCAGGAGCAACCCAACTAGAGAGTGGTTGGAATTTCCCAAACAGGAAGTTTGCAGGACCAGTTAAACTGGCACACACTCACATAATTGAAACTTATTCTTAATAATAATAATGAAAGCAACTTCAGAACGCAACACTCAGCAGGTCACAAGGGCTCTGTAAACGTTTCTGTTCCCCACCTAGGGCTTAACATGAATCAGAAAGGATTTGGTCACACACGGAGGGCTGTGAGGATGTGGAATTCACCGCCTCAATGCATCATCACCTTCCCTCCCCACTCTTACATAAAGCATAGTGGTTAGCGTGTCCGCCTTGCAAGTGAGAGGACTCAGGATTGACTCCCAGGCAGAGCGAAACCTTCGGCAAGTTTCCTTACTCCACATGTCTGTTTATCCAGCAGTAAGTAGGGACCCGGTTAGTCGAATGCTGAATCGCTTTCTGGGTGGGGGTCGGTAAAACAATGTGGTCACCCAATCCACGACTGTTTGTGGGTCACTGCTGTGCACAATTGGCTGTCATGTTTCACCCAAAAAGTAAAAATACACAGTCAAACCACTTTACGTTAAATTCTTGAGTCGTCTCAATGACTTGATAAAAGCACTAATCAAATGCAAGGATTGTTATTATTATTATTGTTATTGTTAGTGTTATTGTTATTATATTAAGTACAGGTCTATAAAACAATCCCACACACTAAAAAAAGGAATCAATCAACCCACAAACTGATTTACAGAGCTCTGGAGGAATGTTACCCACGCAGCCAGGACTATTCTGTCTCGTACTCAGTTACAGGATTCCCACGGTTCTGGCTTTACTTCCTGCACTGGGGAGGGGGGGCGGGAGAGAGGGGGTGGGTGGTTTTGAAGGAAGGCTTAGGGAGCCCATTCCCAGGACAGCTCAGTGGGGGGTGTGGGGGCCAGGACTGAACTCCGCTCGTCTCAGATGCGGACAAGGAGGATGTGGAAGGGCGATATAAACAACGATGAAGAAAAAAAGTTGCCTTTAAATATTGTCTCGGATTTCCTGATTCCAGACTGGTCATTGAGGACAGGCTCTGAGTGGGGAGCCAGATGCTTCCCTACAGGAAGGAAGGAGAAAAACCGAGAGAGGGAGAGAGAGAGAGAAACACCTAGAGAGAGAGAGACCTAGAGAGAGAGACAGAGACAGAGACAGAAAGAGAGGGAGACGCTTTTTCCCAGCCAGACTAGACATGCCGAGACATCACGTCACCTCGGCAAGGAGGTGAATAATTATATTTTTATACACAAGATAAAAAATTAATCATTCACTTCATGACTGTCTATGGGGCCATTGCTGTGTGTGTGCAAATTGGCTGCCGCCTTTTATCACAAATGCAGTAACTACACGTCACAAAAATCCTGCAAAGTTCTTTGAGACGTCTCGACGACGTGATGCGATCAAGTATTGTTATTATCACGTCTTCGAGACTTCTCAAAAGCGTCTCAAAGCACAGAAAATACTGTAAAGTGGAGTGACTGTGTATTTTGTGGGCGAAACGCAGCAGCCAATTGCCCACAGCAGCGTCCCCACAAACAGCAGTTTCTCGGAGGGATTGTTACCCCGGAAAGTGATCCGCCAATCGACTAACAACCGGGTTCCTACTGACTGCCGGTAACCAGAGGCGTGAGTGTGGAGTACGGAAACTTGCCCAATGTTTCACCCTCCTCTGGCTCGCCAGGCGAGTGCTGTAACCGCTGAGCTACAGGACTCCACAATACCCCCATAGAGTAGAAATTTCCTCTGTCTCTCCAACACCAACACCCCCCACCTCCCCACACGGTGTAGAAGCCCCTGGCCGGCTGGGGCGAGGTTCCCCTGGGCCCATGGCTTCTCACGGCTTACCTCACGGCTCCATACTCCGGGGGCAGCTGGTACCTCAGGGCGGGGGGTTCCGGGCGGTGATGCTGCTGACAGTTGGTCGGGGTCGGTTTGACGGAGTTCGCTGCCGGTCCCAGCCGCATCTCGTTGTAAAAGCGCCCGTGGTCCGCGAGGGCGGGCTTGGGGGCCGGCAAGGCCAGGCTCTTGTAGGGGTACTCGGGCGGGGGTCCGCGGGGGTCGGCCCCTTTTGAGGGGACGCGGGTCACGGTATAGAAGCCCCCGGCTGGCTGGGGCGAGGTTCCCCCAGGGCCGACGCTCACGGCGGGAGATCGGGACTGGACGCCGTTGGTGGAGAGTGAAAGCTGCATCAGCCTCTCGCTGAGCGAGCGCACGTGGCCCTGTTTGAGCTCACGGAGCCCCTCGTCCTGATGGACCTTCCCCGCGCTGACCCTCTGCACCACCGGACGTCCCTCCGTCCTGGCTTTCTGGCTGTGGTTTATCCCAGTCACAAAGTAGGCCGTGCCGGCCCCCGGGTGCTGCTGTCCACGGAAAAACTGCGACTGGACCTTGGCCTCCTCGTAGGTGGGGAGGTCCTCGCCGGTCGGGACGTGCAGCTGGGTCTCCATCACGGTGCTGTCCACCTGCAGCTCCTGGCCCTGAGGTTCCTGCCGAGCTTGGTGAGGAACCACCATCACCACCTGACGCTCATCCTGGCTCAGACTCTCGCTGCCGGGCGGGGGAGAAAGGGGTCCCGAGCTCCCGCTGGCGCCGAAGGGCAGAGTGTTGCCGGGGCCGGCTTGGTGGAAGCCCACCGTGGGGTTGCCATAGCGTAGCTGCTCCTGTAGGAGGCGCTGGAGAACCGTCCCGCTCGCTCCCTCATCCGCGTTTCTCATCTCCAGCCCTGGCCACCAGCGAGAATCTCGATGGCCGCGCACATCGGGGTCAAACTCGTCCTGGGCTCTGTCTTCCGTTGCACACCAGGGTGGGGGGGGGGGGGGTAGAGAAAAGAGAAGTTGCACAAGATTAGCAGCTTCCACAATAATAACACGCCTTGCGCTCGACATTGCGCCTCATCGCATTGTTGAGACGTCTCAAAGCGCTTCACAGAAATATACTGTCAATTAGTTTTCGACTGTGTTTTGTGGACGAATGCAGCCGCCAGCACCCGCACAAACAGCCCCGGAGCAACTTTATTAAGGAATGCGGTTCCACCTCTGGAAGAATTTAAGGGAGATGTTTATTCTAGGCGGCGAAATGTTAACAGAGGAGAGATCCGCCTTCCTACAAAAAAAACCCATCCCTATCCCGCCCTGTTGGCAAACCAAACCCCTCGGTTACCACGTGGCTCGTTCAAAATCACATCCAGCCACTGCGCTCTGATTCACAGTGTCATTACAGGATCTCTCTGATCTGCTGTTAACATCACATGAATCACTGGGTGTTATTAACCCACATCAAGGGTACAGGATCCTACCTCACAAAGTGAGAGAGACAGACAGAGCTTCACTGCAATAGACCAGAGAGAGAGTGTTGTGTTGCAATTGGCCAGACACAGCGACTAACCCAACTAAAGATTCAAAGAAAATAATAATAGTCCTGGCATTTGATACAGCGCCTTATCACGTCGTTGAGACACCTCAAAGCACTTCACAGAATATACTGTGAAGTGTAGTAACTGTGCATTTTGTGGGAGAAATGCGACAGCCAATTGCACACAGCAGCGTCCCACAAACAGTCGTGCATTGAGTGACCACATTCTTTTTTGAAGGGATTATTAATCCTGGTAAGTGATCTGCTAACCGACTCACAGCCAGGTTCCTACTTATTGCTGGGTAAACAGTAAGGAAGTGTGTGTGGAGTAAGGAAACTTGCCTTAGGTTACACCCTGCTCAGGAATCAGAACCTGGGTCCTCTCGCTCGTGAGGGAAGTGCTCTAACCAATACGCTACCGGACTCCACATCTACATAGTAATATAGGTGCTCAATAATAACGTCAGCATCGTTGACTGGATAATCATCCCCAGAAACACTTCAATGCCAATTGGGATCATGGAGCTGAGAGGAGAGAGGTGAGGGGGAAATGACTTTAGTATGAGACGGAGCTTAGGGCAGGTGGAGCTAGCAAGGTTGGCAAGGAGAGCAATTTGGTTTTTAAGCAAATTTTTGCACCAGCATCAAAGAAAACACTGAAGAGCCCAGCCTGACCTGTCTGAGATTCAGGGTTTGGCAAGTGATGGGATTAGGTACCTGGCTCAGCGAGGCTCCTCGTGCCTTCCTCCTCGGCTATTGTGGATAGGGCATGCCTGTGTAGAGCCTGGCTCTGCTCCCCTACACACAAGTCTGTCTGCTCAGTCACACAAGCGATTCCAGGCAGGATCGACTCCCGATGCAAATGCCACTCTAAACAAATGTGAAGGGTGTGGGGGGGGAAGAAAGAGAGAAAGAGACAGTGTGATCAACAGGTTTAACTTCTTTCACAGACCTCAGTGTAAACTTTGGCAGGTATGTAAATTATACAACAAAGAGGCAAACATACCAAAGAAATTGGATCATCTGAGTTGGCCATTGTCTAACCAAAAGTCCCTGAGCCAATCTCCCTGAAGGTGACTGGTCTAACAGCTCCCAGTGCTTACCACAGTCAGTATGGAATACAGTTTAGAGAGAACTTAATAATAATCTCAATAACAATATTGATCCTTGCTTTTGATGTAGCACTTTATCACGGTGTTGAGAATACACTGTGAAATGAATTGACTGTATGTTTTGTGGGCGAAACTCAGCATCCAATTGCGTACAGCAGTGTCCCACAAACAGTCATGGATTGAGTGACTGAAGGGATTATTACTCCCAGAAAGCGATCTACCAATCAACTAACAACCGGGTTGCTACTTACTGTAGGTAAACAGAGGCGTGTGGAGTAAGGAAACTTGTCTAAGATCCAACCCGGGTCCTCTCGCTTGGGAGGCGAGCGATCTAACCACTATGCTACAGGACTCCAGTTGCTGTTTTATCGACGTGATAAGGCACAATATCAAATGAAAGGATTATTGTTGCTATTATTATTGCAGGCCATTACCGCTGAGGTGGCGGCTGTTGTTTTTGGAGGCTAACAATTTCTGCGCAGCAACATCTCACAAACACTCAGTTTATCACAGTCAGGACCACTGTGTGAAACTCCCTTCTCGCTTCTAATCGGAATACGAGATGTTTAGCGTCTGTCTGAACAAGTACAGATGGGACCGGGGCTTAACATCTCATCCGCAGGACGGCATCTTTGACAACAAAGCGCTCCCCCACCCCACCCTCAGCATCACATTGGAGTGTCAGCCTAGACATGACACCCTCTTGGCCCAGAGACAAGAATGTCCCCACCTCTCTCCTGCCTTGGTGACATCCTACTGGAGAATCCCAATGACAACTACAACTACAACAAATGACAGTCACACGGCGCCATTCACGTGGGGAGGGCATCCCGAGGCCCTGGACAGTCGGGCATTTGGACCCGAGCAGGGAATTGGGATCACGAGGGGTGGAGGAAGGGCAGGGTGGGGTGGGGGGGATGTAGGAGGGTGGGCGACGACGCGGTTGAAGAGGAGGCTCTTGAGTCGGGCCTTGAAGGAGGCAAGGAAGGGAGCGAGGCGAAGGGAATGCGGGATAGAGCTCCAAAGGGTGGGGGTAGAGAGGCTGAAGGCCCGACCATTGATGACAATGATTGATGTATGTTATTTCTATTATAATGAAGGGCACCAGGTGTGGAATCAATCAGTCATGTAACCGTGTCCTAACCAGTCTGCGCTAAGGACATTACCCGCGCACCCCTCCCTCTGTCATCACCAGAGCGCTCCCTGAATACTAAACGTCTGTCAGTATCCGTTCCCAACCCACCCTCCCCGCGTGTTACTGATTCATTTTCTCATGAGCTCCGACACCTTCAATATCCCATCTCCTGACTCCCGTTCCATGTGTAAATTGTCTGGACGATGATGCATCACAGGGTGTTATTTCCCGCACCGAGCTGCCAATTTCTTTTTATTGTGTCGGCTTGGCGCAGTGGGAGCTCGCGCCTCTGAGTCAAAAAGGTTCTGGGTTCAAGCCCCACATTGGGACTTGGAATCACGTAGACCTAAGATGACGCTCCAATACAGCGCTGGTTGATGGGGTGGGGGTGGGTGGGTGTGTTGCATTGTCAGAGGTGCTGCCTTTCGATTGAGATGTTAAACCGAGGACGTTAAAAATCCCGCGATGCTCTTCGAAGAGAGCTTCTCTCTCCCCTGGAGTCCAGGCCAACACTCCCCCCAAATCAAATCGGTTACTCTAATCCTCAACTGCTTGTGAGACGCTGCTGTGCGCAATTGGCTGCCGCCTTTCGCCCACAAAATACACAGTCACTACACTGTACAGTGTATTCTGTGAAGCGCTTTTGGGACCTTTCAACGAGACGAAAAGGTGCAAGGATTATTATTATAATAATTATCTCACACACAAGGCTGCAGCCATCCTCTCATACCTACGTATTAAAAAAACATTCACAAGAACAGCACATATTATTTTTAAACTATGAACCCAAATCACAGGAGCTTATCTGACAGCAGTTTACAAGGTTGTATCAGATTGGCGGCTGGGCACATGGACTTCCATCCCATTTACCAAAGGCGCGTGAGCAGAGTGTATTTCCCTGTAAATCGTCCTCAAAATTTACTCTCCCATTGAACTCTGACAGCGTCAGTGAAGGCGTCTGTGTATTCTCAGTGCTTCGCGACCATGTCGCTCCCCAAAAGCACCCAAATTTCCAGAAGTTTTAGTCTTATTCTATCAAGTTCTTATTTTATTAATATAAGAAATGAAAAGCAAGTAAATTCCAAAATACCAGCATTAAACTGGTCGCGAGACACTGCTGTGCGCAATTGTCTGCTGCTTTTCGCTCACAAAATACAGTCACTCCACTTTATAATGTATCCTGCAAAGCGTTTTGAGACGTCTCAATGACGTGATAAGGCAAATGCAAGGATTATTATTGCAAGGATTACTGAAGAGGGTAACTTGATCTCAAACTTCTGTCAATCTACTCAACCTCGTCGCTGTGGTTTGGAATAACAATCAAGAGACTTTAACTAACATATTATAGCCTTGAAACTCAACCCCAACTCCCTTTGATTGGGGACAAAAGGTAAATTGCCTTTGATGATAATAATAATCCTTGTCTTTGATATAGCACCTGATCATGTCATTGAGACGTTTCAAAGCACTTGACAGAATATACTAATGTATAGTGTAGTGACTGTGTTTTGTGGGCAATGAGGGGCACCAGAGTGTCCCCCCCCACCCACCAACACACACACACGCACACAATAAACCCTCCACGATAGGCGGTAAAACTGGAACCTCACGGTGGGAAGAGATGATTGAGGAGAAAAGTAAATGGATGAATGGAAAGTGAGGAAGGAGCGAGACAGTGGGATTCAGGAGACTTTGCATTTGGTTTAGCGCCTCATCGTGTCAGAAGGACGTCTCAAAGCGCTTCGCAGGATGTTACTGTGAAATGGAGTGACTGTGTATTTGTAGGCAAACGGTGCAGCAACAATTGTGCACAAAAAGCCATTGGGTGATGACCAATGTTAGTTGGGGATTGTTGCTCAGGAATTATTGACACAGCGGCAGCAGAATAGGCTCCTTCCCTTCTGTGCTGAAAATATCCAAGTCACTGTTGAATATGTCTGTGCAACTTAATGAAAGGCAAACAAAAGACAGGAGAGCAAGTGAGTGACTGAGAGTGAGAGACTGAGAGCGAGTGAGTGACTGAGAGTGAGAGACTGAGAGCGAGTGAGTGACTGAGAGCGAGTGAGTGACTGAGAGTGAGAGACTGAGAGCGAGTGAGTGACTGAGAGTGAGAGACTGAGAGCGAGTGAGTGACTGAGAGTGAGAGACTGAGAGCGAGTGAGTGACTGAGAGTGAGAGACTGAGAGCGAGTGAGTGACTGAGAGTGAGAGACTGAGAGCGAGTGAGTGACTGTGAGAGACTGAGAGCGAGTGAGTGACTGAGAGTGAGTGAGAGACTGAGAGCGAGTGAGTGACTGAGAGCGAGTGAGAGACTGAAAGTGAGAGACTGAGAGTGAGTGAGAGACTGAGAGTGAGAGACTGAGTGACTGAGAGTGAGAGACTGAGAGCGAGTGAATGACTGAGTGAGTGACTGAGAGACAGAGAAAGAGAGAGACAGACGCCGGTAAGAGTCCTCCTCTCCTCCTCCTCCTCCTCCTCCTCTCCCCGGTGACAGCAATGAAGAATCGGGAGACTCACCCACGACAGAGGCTCCTCAGCGATCGACCGGTTTTGGAGGGTGTGGGGGGTGGGGGGTGTGTGTGTGGGTGTGTGTGTGGGTGTGTGGATCGGGGGGAGACATCATTCCACCCACATCGCCGTCGCCACGTCGAGAGCGCACATCAGTCGCCGCCTTTGTAACAATGTATCGCCTTCACGGTTTCTCGCGTCAATGTAAACCGCTTCTCTTTGTTACAATGTAACCGTTTCACCGGCGGTCACTCTCCTGTTCCCACATCGCAACAGTGTATCGTTTCCCCTCTGTTCGGGGAGTTACAATGTTGCGCACAAATCCCGACGCCTTTTCCTTCTTTTCTCACTCGGCGCTGAGAAGTGGAGGGGAACAGTGAGGGAGTGAGGGGGGGGGCGGGGGGGGGGGGGTCACTCCTCCCCTCTCTCTCTCTTTCTCTCTCTTCTTTCTCTCTCTCTCTTTCTTCCTCCGAGCTGACTTCGCTCCCTCTTTTCTTTCTTTTTCTCTTCCCTCCCTCCCTCCCTCCTTCCCACGATCCGATTTCACTCACTCACTCACTCACTCACTCTGGACGATTCCTTTTTATCTGCGAAGTCACCCACCGCGATCCGAACCGACTTCAAGTAGACACTCACAGTCACACACACACTCACACAAAAAAAACAACAAATCACATTTTTCTCCTCTCGTTCCTCTCTCTCTCTCTCTCTCTCTCTCACTCTCTGGTGCCACCCCCTTCCTTTCAGGATTTGTTGCTGGACTGTTTAATGACTGTTCCTCTCCCCCCCCCCCCCCCCCCCCCCCCCCCCCCCCCCCCCCCCCCCCCCCCCCCCCCTCTTCCCTCCCTCCCCACCCCAGGGAATGACAAAAATGCAGGAAATGAACCTCTTCACTTGAAACCACAGCAACCACCAGAGCAGCTTGGGGAAGGTTTTATAAAAGCGCCTGAAAACTGGACGGAAAATCACATCGAAACTTCACCGAGGGGGGAGCAGAGGGGGGGCTGGAGAGGGACATCACTCTACACCACACTCACTCCCATTTGCTGTCTGTCGCGCTCTCTCGCGCTCCAGCAAAGTCACTGTTTGGCCACTCGCAATCTCAGTTTCTTCAACACCAACAAAGTCTGGGACTAAAGCGACCGCATTGCGTGTGTTGTAATAACAATGATCTTTGCATTCGATACAGCGCCTCATCACATCACCGGGACGTCTCAAAGCGCTTCACAGAACATACTGTAAAGTGAATTGACTGAGTATTTTGTGGGCGAAACGCGGCAGCCGACTGCGCACAGCAGCGTCCCCACAAGCAGCCGTGGATTGAGTGACCAAAATATTATTATTATCACATATATTTCATAAAAACTTTCCAGCAGACACTTACGTTGATCCTCATCAGACTTCACAAAAGGGCAGCTCACTGTTTAGCACGTTCTCTCCCCCACTCCCCCCCCCCCCCCCCCCGCACGCACCACCACCATCAGCTAAACGCTGGCTATTTTCAGGATTATTTATTGTAAAATAATGGGGCCAGCTGACTTCCCCCTCTCCCCATATCCTGGCACGCAGTGACTGACTGTTCACTCACAATCAGCCTTTAACAATGTCTGTAACTGACAGTGTTCGGTACGATTATTGGGCACAAAAGATCCATTGCAAAAAGAAAGTTCTCTTTTTCCAAGTATAGCGTCATGTGTTTACTCCTCGGAGGCACAATTATTAAGATTCGGTTAGTATTATGCATGAAAATGTAAAAGTATCTTCATAATAATAATCATTACCGTTGATACATACAGAGACTTATCGCGTCATGGAAACAACTCAAAGAGCTTCACAGGGTTTACAGTAAAGTGTAGTGACTGTGTCTTTGTAGGCACAGCAAGGTCCCACATTCAGCCACATTGCGTGAGTGACCAATCGTACCTGGGGGATTGTTGGTCAGGACACCGGGCGAGAGAAACTTATTATATGATCAAATTTACCAACTAATCACGACCGACAATATCCGATAAACTACTAGAAGTTTGAATTTATAACAACAATCCTTGCATTTGATATAGCAACTGATCACATTGTCAAGACATCTCAAAGCGCTTCACAGAATACACTGCATTTTGTGGGTAGTAGGTATTGAGTGACCAAATTATTATGTATTTATTTGCTTATTTTGAAGGGATTATTACCCCTAGAAAGTGATCCATCAATTAACTAACAACCAGGGTCCTACTTACTGTTAGGTAAACGGAGGTGTGTGGAGTAAGGAAACTTGCTTAAGGTTTTGCCTTGCCCAGGAATCGAACCCGGGTCCTATCGCTTGCGAGGCGAGCGCTCTAACCACTGAGCTACAGGACTCCACAGTAGTGATTTGAAGTGTGGTTTTCCACAGTTCTGGGCTTAACAGGGAGGTCAGTGTTACGGAGGGAAAGGAAATGTTTGGAGAGGACAGGAAAAGGGAAGTCCGTGATGCTTGGAGACAGCTTCAGCAATAGAGGAGATGGTGAGGCCAGGAATGGAAGATTCTGGAAACGCTTCACTTGCAGGTCAAAGTGTGCACAAAGCAAACTCAAGAAGATGCTGACACAACAAAAGCCTCTCCACCACTCCACAGTCGTCTCTCACCTAATAGTACATCATCCACCTCAGTGAGTCGCTCTTCGCAAACAGTGTTATCTGGAAAACAGGAGCTGATAGGATTAGTTCTGAAGTCCCTCTGACTTACCCTCTCCTTCCCTCCCTTCAACCCAAACTTCAGCCATCTTTCCTCCCCCCTCCCCTGCCTACCTTAGGCTTCCAGTCAGTTACTTTAAGATGTCCTCTCGATGTAAAAGGCACTTTATAAATGGAAATCACCATTGTATTTCTATGTGTTTAAAATATAAAGGTTTTGATCCACTATTTTACCATTGTTTGTCTATATTCCTTCCCCTCCAGCGTTGATCTGTCTCCAGGATTCTCAATTTAAGTTATTGCTCGTGTTTTAAATGTGGTTGAGAACGACACAACATTAGTCAAATGGTGACTGTGGTTCAGACAGTCAGTCAACACTTACAGTACTCACAAAGAGAGCGAAGCTTCATTCACATTCTGCCTGGTCTGTAGCATCCACTACTTGGCGGTTACAGGAAATTCTGATTGGGAGGAAATCAACTGGTGCCAAAAAAAGTCTCTGACATTCCTTCTGATGCCTCGGTTGTGATAGAGCCATACAGAGCAAGAGTGTCCCAGGTCCCATCCCCGGCCTGTGCTGCTGGGGGAAGGGGGGGGGCGGTCAACAACAAAAAATTATATTTGTACAGTGCCTTTCACATCAGGAGGACATCCCAAGGCACTGGTGTCAGCTGGAGGCACAGTAGGGGCTCATGTTTGGCTTTAGTTCCCCGAGACTGAGGAACTGATAATTGAGCCCCACTCATGATCGCTATCCAGTGATCACTGGACACTGCTGTGGTCAGGACAGGACTGGATCTGCCACAGAGTCAAACAGCCTGGCAACAGGTCAGTCCTCTTGCCTCACACAAGAGGAATGACCACTTGGGTGAAGGGGGGGAGAAGAAAACGACAATGTTTTTCAGGAACATATTAGTGTTCTTTAGTTAATAACAGCTGTGCAGATGGTAAATTACCGCTTGTGAATCCACATGTGCCAGACAGCTAGCATTGCACATCGCACTCTGCTGGTCATGGGATAGATTACCAGAGCACAGTCTGGACAATAATAATCCTTGCATCTGATACAGCACCTTATTACGTCATTGAGATGGCTCAGGATATACTGTGGAGTGGAGTGACTGTGCATTTTGTGAGCAAAACATGGCAGCGACCAATTTTATTTGGGGTTTTGTTGGCCAGGACAGGGAGAAACTCCCTTCTCTTTTCAAATAGTGCCATGGGATCTGTAGCGTCCACCTGAGCAGGCAGACGGGGAGCTCGGTTTAATGTCTCACCTGAAGGACAGCACCTCCAGCGCTGCATTGGAGCATCATCTTAGACTGTGATTCCAAGTCCCAACGTGGGGCTTGAACCCACAACCTTGTGCCTCAGAGACGAGAGAGCGACCACCGAGCCAGGCTGACACACACTCACCGACACCACAGATTATTTGAAATAACAGAGCCCAGCGACCAATCGCACATCCCTGATTTATTGCATTTAATTAAATGTAATTTGAATCAATTAATTGAGTTTCTCTGATTAAATATTTGCGGATTAAATACTGGTGAGCCCTTGCCGTACCTATGAACAGCCGGACATACTGCTTAAAGCTGAAGTCTCCAACCTCACAGGGCCTGCACTCCTTCAGTGCCTCCATGGTCTTCTCACCAGACCTGTTTCAAAGGACATAAATATGGGATCAATCACCTCCCCCACAGTGACATTCACCTATTAAACCTATTACTAGATAACTGGGCTTCGATCTGATTTGTGCTTTGTTGACAGTGCTCCCCACACTTTCTTAGTCTGAGATTTAAACCAAGAAAAACAGCACAACAGATCCAAACTTTTCAGGTGGACGTTAAAAATCCCGCAGCGCCATTCAAAAAGTGAGTGTTTTCCTGGCCAACAATTGCTCATTCCCTTCATTGCTTCAGTGCAAACTGGTACCTGTCCTTGTCTACAAAATACATTGGAGTCAGTACACTTTACAGTAAATCCTGTGGGAAACTTGGAGATGTCTTGACAACCCGATGCATCAAATGCAATAATTATTATTGTTATCACAGCAGCGATAACAAGAATCCTTGCCTTTGTAATTTCAGTTTCGGACTCTTCCCGCCTCGAGTCCATTAAAAAACAGGATTAATCCTCGTGGGTAAAGGCATTAAATTAAACAGTTTATATAAACACCATCTTCTCCACAGTGAGACACACACCATTACCCATCTGAGCTGTCTGACAAGTGGTCTGCTGATGGCTGTCATTTGCCCCTCTCCTCCCAACCGGCCAATTGACTGTAAGTTGCGGTGAGTCCTTGTATTTTGTGGGCAAACGCCACAGGTGGTTTGTGTGCAGCAATGTCCCAGGAACAGCCATGGGAGTGAATGAGCAATTTCATCCAAGAGGTGGTTCCTGATTTAATAAAAGAAAAAAAAACAATCTTTAGATTTCTGCACTGCTGCTACATTTTGTTCCCTGAAGTCACTTCCCGGGTGTTTTAAAAAGAAGATGACCTGAATTACAACTCACCTGCCAGCATCCTCCGCCATACCTGAACCAGGTGAGGTTGCCACCTGTCGCTGACTGTTGCACGGGAGAGGGAGGGAGGGGGGAGCGCTGCACCACGGGAGTTGTAGTCCTCCGGGTCACGTGAGTCGGCTTCACTGCGACTGCGCGCCACGCCGGGCCGGACTACAACTCCCATGGTGCCTTTCGCCCACGCCTCCAGGTAGCGGCGCCTCACCGGCTGGGCATTAAAGGCGCTGAGCCACGCGATGCGCGTTCGCTCCTCCGCATTGACAAGGGATTCATCGTGTCGCGCAACACGCACCAAAGCACTCCCCTTTAAAACAAATTGCATTTAAATCGGCCGATAATTAAATGCAACAACAGGTGCAATCAACTTTAAGAGGAAGGAAGGAAGGAATGAATGGTAATGAGAGCCTTTTATAGCGACGGACAATCGTTGCATTTGATTATGCCATAGAAACATCTCAAAGCCTTTCACAAGGACTTCGCCGGCGTTGCGCACGTAGGGGAGTGGCGGGGAGAAGGGAGACAAACGGCCTTACAAAACAACGAAAAGAATAATAATCCTTGCAGTTGACACCGCCCCTTTTCCAACCCTCAAAACACTCTGTGAAGTACTTTCCGTATTGTGTAGTGACTGCATTTTGTAGATGCATGCAACAGCCAATTTGTATTCAAAGAGGAGCAACTTCCGGCCTTCCGCCGTCATTCAAAACAACGTCTCAAGGTCACATGTGTGAGTGTGGTACAATGTAATTGTACCCTCTGATTGCTAACTACTTGTATTTCCATGAGTTGCCTCTTTGTGTCAGCCCGGCTCGGTTGGCAGTCACCTTTGCCTCTGGGCTGGCAGGTGGTGTGTTCGAGCTCCACTTTGCGAGTGCAGATCCTGCAAAGCGTTTCAGAGAAATTTCTTGAGAATTAATCAAATGCAAAGATTAGTAGCCGGTAATACGCTGTGCACAGAAACTGCAACACAAGCCTCGTCTGTAGGCACAAGAGCGGACATACACTACATACTGGGGTAACAATATCATCATCAATAAATTATAGTGTTAGCGAGAACTGAAGCTCTTTATTTCAAATTCACGACCAGAGTTGTTATTCTTCGGGCTGTTCACAAAGTCCTGTTGGCCCCAATTTTTTTTCTTGATGGATTTTTATTTTCCGTTGCAGATGAGTGGAGTGTAACAATGTCTTGATACCAGTAACTTCCTCCTCACTCCATCCATGTTACAGAGGATGTGGCACTGCACATGGCGACGGATCATTTTAACCGCCATGAAAATGATGGTGCTCACTCACACACAGATCCTCCGGATGGTCTAAATACAGCCAAACACTTGAATTGCTTCTAAATACAATTATCATCATTCATCCACATTTCAGCTGTTGGTCAGTGCACTGGAGATAAAACACATGGGGAAACTTTGTAAACACCTTGTAGTTAAGAGCTGGCTGGGCTAAGTCAGTTGCTGGGCACGTTTCAGTCAGGTTGTCGGATTGGCTCTGGTTACCATTCCTTACTGAAGTGCTGGAAAGTAGGTCATGTTATGTATTCAGCTGCTGGAAGCACAAAACTCTTATTTGCAATTCAAATGAATCAGATGAAGTTCACCTTCTGGCTCCCATTGCTTCAGTCAAAACCAAAACAGGTTTTACACTGAAATATTATAGCACAGAAACAGAAACCCAAAAGACCATTCTTTATCTACAAGCCTGGATCCACCGTACCATACAGGGAATATGCAACAGGGGGCTTTGAGCACATGATCGCACTTCCTACCTCCTCAATGCAACACCTTGGGTTGTTTACCGCTTTCAATACGCTTCGCCAATTCATTCATCATCTCACACACACTGAATAAAACAGTCTTCCCGCAGTTGTGCACAATTATTTATTTATTCAGCGGCCATTACAGTATTAGCTCCAAACAAAATGGAAACCGTAAACTTGTGTTGCGAACAGCTTGGCACTACAGTGCAGGAAATCACGCCACGTCTTTGGAAAAGCGGCCTCAACGGTACGGGTAAAGCTGGAGAATCAGGTAACTGACCGCACAGGACGTGTACATGATAGATGCACAATCATTTCAGGGGCCCAAATATATATAAATTCTAGAGTCAACACAACACCAAACTCTTTATCCTTCTATACACAGGGTTCTGAGACGGGAGCTTTTGTTTGTGATAGTAAAGTGTTCTAATGCACAACAGTGAAATGTGAGGGCCGTGTGCTGGGGAATTCGCAACCTGTGCTCCTCTCTCGCCTTAGACATTGCTCAGAGCTTCGACTCCAGGGAGAACTTTACCTGAAAGAGAGAAACAGAATGAGGGGTTAGGAAAGCTTTCTGCATATCAGATTCAGGGGGGGTGAGGGGGCGAGTTGGAGAGAAGGGATAAAGTTGCACCTGTTCATTCCCTCCATGCAATAAAACCGTATAGCTTGGAATTGCCCCTCAGGCCTGCCCTGAGCCCGTGCTCTCTTCTGCTGGCTTAGTGTATCTGACAACATCAGTCCAATGAGTTCACAAAGCATATACAACAACTAGAGAAGTGTTGTATCCCCTGGTGATGGACATAAAATAAGAGGACGCTGCAGAGTGGCTCACCTTCCAGCAGTTCCAGGCTGGCTCCACCACCGGTGCTGACGTGGCTGACCTTGTCCTCCGTCCCCCACTTGGCACAGCACGTGGCAGTGTCTCCCCCACCTGTGAGGGGCAAGAGAGAATAATAATAAAGTTCGCATTTGATATAGGGCTTTAACAGGCTGTTGACACATCTCAAAGCGCTTGACAGGATACGCTGTAAAGTCGATCAACTGTTTATTTTGTGGGCGAAATGCGGAAGCCGGTTGTGCACAGTAGTGTCCCACAAACAGTGGTAGATTATTTGGGGCATTGTTGGCCAGTGAAAAAGTAATAAGAGGCCGAAAAAAAGGGCCGAATGTGAACAACGGGAAATGCTAATAGAGTTAACTGAGAAGAGCCACGACCAACTCGAGAGCATTTTCACCCAAGTAGCACATAAACTAGGGCCGTAAAATTATATATTCATAACAATCTTCTCCATTTCCTTTACTCCAGGGGCTCGTTAGCTGATCGTTAATGTAGCATATTTAGCGGAAACAACATTATCTAGCAAATGGGGGGGGGGAAGAGGGAGAAAGTGGGAAAGTTAAGAGGACATTTGTAAGCCCACTAAATTGGAAGCTCAACGGAATTCAGCAATAGCAAACCCGTCAACTATATTCAACTGAATTCTACGTTATATCAAAACAAATTACACAAAGTGAAAAGCAATGATCAAATGTTGTGTCACAGCTGCTCTGGACTATGAAATGACATTAAGCTAAATACCTCCCCCACCCCACCCCCAAAAGCACTCACCGATAATAGTGATGGTTCCCGCCTTGCTGACTTCCACGACTTTGTCCATCACGGCTTTGGTGCCTTTGCAGAACTTGTCCCATTCAAACACCCCCACAGGCCCGTTCCACACGATCAGCTTGGCCCTGCCCACAACCTCCACAAACTTCTTAATACTCTCGGGACCACAGTCCAAGCCCTGGGCAGGAGAGAGAATGAATTTAACACATTGAAAACTACTGCACTTCCAATTCATTTTTTGGGGGGTCAGCCAGGTGTCTGATACATGCAGAAACCAATCACCGTGCTCAAAAAGCTCCAAACCAAACTGAGAATCCAGGCATCCCACCTACACATGGAAATCCCAGAGATAAGATTGTTGGAATGGTGTAATGTGCACTCTCTCCCTGGAGGGATGCCTCCTGCTTACCTACTTTTGGGAAAGCATTAGGCACAGGTTGGCAGGAGCCAAGGCTTGAGGAGCCCAGAGTGCACATTGGGGGAAACTACCAAAGTCTAACCAGCTAAAACTGCATAGCTTGCAATTGATAGCACTGACCGGAATTTTTCAACAAGGCCAAAATTCAGAGCCACTGAATACTGTGTTCCAGTGACCCGAGTGTCCCAGGAGCAGCTAATTTACCATTGAGTGTGCGGGAATTCCTGTTGCTAGAGTGGCTGCTCCAACTTTGGCATTTTCATCAAACTTGTCAGCCGTCACAAAATCGACCGGGAGTGTGATGGTCACCCCGTTCTTCTTTGCTTTCGCCATCAGCTCGTTGACAATCTTGGATCCTTCTTCATCAAAGAGGGAATCACCGATCTAGAAGAGAAAAAGCTATGAAGTAGTAACAATTCCAGGGACCCCACTCGTGTGCTGCTCTCTTAACTTAGGACTGAAAACTCATTGTTAAAATCTTCAAATACCTTCACAATTACAGGAAAAAAAGGACTAAATGGAGGGAATTGGGATGAGAGTAGATCGCTCTAGTGGAGGAGCAGGCGCTAGGGTAGGTTCAATTGACTGAACGATCAGTTTCTACACAGTATATCTATGACATTATCAGGAAAGGCACGCCAGCAAACACAGGCTGGTAAACTCTTTAGGACGTGTAGCATCGTTACAAAATCACTTGCTACAATATCTCCATTTAATAATAATAATCCTTGCATTTGATACAGCGCCTTATCACATCTTCATGACATCTCAAAGCGCTTCACAGAATGTACTATAAAGTGAATTGGCTGTATGCTTTGTGGGTGAAATGCGGCAGCCAATTGCACACATTTACCACTTATAAACTAGATGCCTGAAGATGGAAGTCCCCACCGCACACACACCTCCATTTTATTGATGACCTTCAGGAATGTGAAAGCCATTCCTCCTCCGATGATCATTTCGTTCACCTTGTCCAGCAGGTTACTAATCAGCTGAATCTTGTCCTGGACTTTTGCCCTGTCAAACACCAGTAGGGGAGAACATTAAAACTACAGGACTCCTAGAACAGTTTACTCACTCACGGAACACGTGCAAACAGAAAAAGCTCACTTTGCTGAACTAATTTAAAGTAAAAAGAATCAAATCAAAGTTGCCTTAGTCTTAAAAGATCTCTGGGATCCATTCAGAAGATGCTGAATCCATTAAGATGTTCAAGACTGAGGTGGATAGATATTTGTCAGGTCAAGGTATCAAGAGATATGGGGTAAGGACGGGGTAATTGGAGTTGAGGTACAGATCAGCCATTATCTTATAGAAGAGCGGAACAGGCTTGAGGGGCTGAATGACCTTCTCCTGTTGCTGTGTTTCTCAGGTATTTCAATGAGGTCTTCTCTTTGTACTATAGTGCCACCAAGAGGCAGTGTGGGTGCACTGCGGCACCGTGCCTCCCTTGGAACCTTTACTATTGCTGGCGTATAATAATAATAATAATTCTTTCATTTGATATAGCGCTTTTCACGTCTTCTAGAATATATATTTGTGTACGATTCGCGGCAGCCAATTGCGCACAGCAGCGAACCACAAACACTCATGGACTGAAAATGACCAATTTATTATTGTTTTTTGCTTTGGAGGGATTATTATTAAGCGTGTGAAGTAAGGAAACATCTCAAAGCATCTTTTACAGGCAATTACTGTAGTCGTCGGTATACTTGTCAGTAAAATCTGTAGCCAATTTGCACACAGCAAGGTCTCACTGACAACTATAAAGTGATCGATTTATCTGGAGGATTGTTGGCCAGAACAACAGGGAGAAAGAAATTCCCCTTTTTTGTTCCAGTTAACATCACAGATCTTTGATGTCCACCCGAATAGGCAGATGGGACATGAATATAACATATTAAGTACAGCATCTCCAATCATGGAGTCTCCCCAGCACTGTAATGGAGTGTCAGGACAAGCAGCAGCTCTAACGTCCACCACCTGCGCTCCTCACTTCAACATGGTGAGACAGTTGCCCACACTGTGCACACAGGGCACAGATCAGTCTGGACCCTGGTCACTTACCCGCCCAGAATGGCGAGGAAGGGCCTCACAGGGTTCTCCAGAGCTTTAGCAAAGTAATCAAGCTCCTTCTTCATCAGGAAGCCAGCAGCCTTCAATGGCAGGTTCACACCAACCATGGAGCTAGAAAGAAAACAAAGGAGTTAGAGGCAGAGTCCAATTCTGGCATTGTATTTACTCAACAACATGCCTCTGCAGAGGAGAGGACTCGAGCTTCAGAAGGATGTATAACCGAATACCAGCTCCGCTGGCTCTAATTTTAAGACTCTGCAAACACTGAGGTTGAGTCTTTCTTGATCAAGTTTCTTCACACTACAAAATACAGTCAATCCTCTTTACGGTATATCCTGTGAAGCGCTTTGAGACATCTCAATGGCGTGATAAGTATAGTTCTTGTATATTCTGGGACACGACATGTCAAGCGACTGCCAGGGTGGTGGAAGGCAAACTGGATGGACCCTGACCTTCTTTCGCCTAGCAAATTCGTATGGAATAAGGCGCTGTGATATACCGTTCTTATCAAATAAGACGCCGTATCATATGTCAGGATTAATATAGACCACGTAGCTCACCTGTGGGCACGATGAGCTGTTCCAAAAGCATCGTTGATGTAGACGTCGCCCAGCTTGGACAGCGAAGCTCGGAACGCATCGACCTTCCCAGGTTCTGCTTTGGTCTAGAAAAACAAAGATTGGATCACAATGGCATCTAACCTTGTTCCAACATAGTTTTACCCACTTCCCCAAGTCTCCCCACATCAGTCATTTCAGGGCAAGCAGGTAACCAGCTCCCATCCTGTGTGCCATACGCCATTTTCCTTTTTGTCTTGGGTCAGCCAGGTGTCTATGACACGTGTAGAAACTCACCGCTATGTTTAGGTGTATCCAAACCAGACTGCAGAGTTTCACACACACGTGGCACTGATACCTGGAAATTTCCCTGTTCCTGGAATGGAACGCGCATTCTCCCTAGAGGGGAGTATTAAGCACAAACTGAAACGGTTTGGGGCTTTCCCTGCATATTCCTGCACTCCAGGATACACATAAACCCCCTCCACTTGCTGCCTGTCCCCCAAAGGTTTAACTTCAAAATCCGAGTCCTGGCTTGAAGTAATCCCAAGGCTGCCCTCTGCTCACACTGTTTTGGAGCTAATCTAAAATGACAAGATAGAAAAATCAGACTGTCGTTTTCAACCATTATAAAAATAAAAAAAGATTATATAACTATAGAACCAAGGGGAAAATTTGCTGAAATGCCATTTACAGTAAAGTTGTCGAAGAAAGTTCAGCATCTGTCATTTTACTGCAGCTGCATATTGCCATGACATGTGCTAAAATAAGTAAGGCCAAAGGGCACCAGTCTATACTAGCTAAGCTCAAAGGTCTCTGCTATCAGCTGAAAAGGTCAGAATGTCTGAGCAACTGGGCTGGCTGTATCTGGAGCTATCCTAATGTGACAGACAGCCCAATCAAGATTAGCAGCTCAACATTAAGGATATGATGAACCTAAACTAAAGGCCACCACTCTGAGCATCAATGCGTGAGGGACTTCTGACACACAGTACGAGACAAGGTTTAAAATAGTACCAGGGAAACAGGAACCCAGTCTTTGGCATTCAATGGACAAGCTTTTGGGATGGCTAATGTGAGGTTTAGCACTCTCATCGAGGTGGAAGTACCCAACAGAATGGATCCAAATTTTATTCACTGAAGCACCTGATAAATATGAACTCTATCTTGTATCTGCACTTTAGTGAAGGTCCAAACCACATAATTGTGTAAGAGCAGCTTTTAAGTCATGGTCTGAGTCAGATATATTAATGAGTTCAACAGAGAGCACCATCTATACCCCCCTTCAATTTTCTACCCATCCTTTCTGGATTGCTGGGACTAATTCCAGTGATGGCTCTCCTCTAACACCTCACTCAGCACCCATTCTTTGTGTGCGAGGCTGGATAGTGACTTGTCTATGGTAAGCATTGACAGCCTATAATTGCATTGAGGGCTTGCTCAACCCTCACCTGCGTTTGCAGAAGGATCAACCAGTCAGGAATCACAAGCAGGAATTCTGGCACACTCCACCCTTGCGCTGTCTCTCTCCCTCCCTCCACAGCCCAGAAATGCAGGTACCAATCTAGCAGCCCGACTGTCTCATTCAGAACCTCAGAACCAGGGCTTAGACCAATGAACACGGGCATCACCTAGCCAGTTCGAATGTCACATCAGCTGAATTTCAGAGACCAAACAGCGCAGATTGTTCCTATACAGAGAAGTAGTAAAGTCACCGGGTGCAGACAGCACACTCAGAACTGTGCAACAACTGAAATCATGACAAAGTTGACTTTTTTTTAAAAAAAAATTGCTAGTCAGCATGTCTGTTCCCAGCTGCTGCAGGTTTAATGCAGCAGCTTTGCTCGGTTGAATGCTTGTCCCATAAACCAGAGAACTGAAGGACGACTCGTTGCCCCTCCCACACCCCCAGGCTTCCTGACATTCTATCAAGGTCAGCTCCATGTCTCAGTTACAATTCGCCACCTTGGTGCAGCAGCTCTAGATGCTATCTGAAGTGGATTAAAATAAAAGTCCTGACAACCACTGACTTATATTTACCACAGCAGTTTAGTCCACAAAATCTACTGAGAGATATTGTGGTTGGGCTCAGGACATCCTCTCACCACACTGATTATTACAATTACTTGAAAGTATATTCGCTGAAATTGAAGGATAGCAAGAAGATATATTAGATATAGTCAATACGAGGTGTCAGCCTGGCTCAGTTAATAGCTCTCTTGCCTCTGAGTCAGGTTATGGGTTCAAGACTCACATCAGGACTTTGAGCTCACATCCTCTGTACATTTAATAATAATAATAATCCTTGCATTTGATATAGCACTTTTCACGTCGGGAGGACGTCCCAAAGCGCTTCACAGAACACACTGTAAAGTGAATTGACTGTATATTTGTGGGCGAACGCGGCAGCCAATTGCGCACAGCAATGTCCCACAAACAGTTGTAGATTGAAAATGACCAATTTTTATTGTTTTTGGAGGGATTATTATTAGGCTCTGTGTGGAGTAAGGAAACTTGCCCAAGGTTTCGCCTTCTGCCTGGAATTGAACTCAGGTCTCTCGCTTGTAAAGTGAGTGCTCTAACCACTGAGCTACAGGACTCCACATAGATATATTTCTCTCCATTTTCCTTTTTACCCACCACACACTTAAAGATTCAGTGGTTTTGAAGTAATTACGGCACTTTTCAGCAACTTATTTGGATGAGCAGATCAATTAAGTACATCATAATAATAAATAATAATCCTTGTATTTGATATAGCACTTTTCATGTCTTCTAGATATCTCAAAGCACCTTACAGAATACACTGTAAAGTGAATTGACTCTTTATTTGTGGGTGAAATGCAACAGCCAATTGCGCACAGCAGTGTTCCACAAACTGTCGTGGATTGAAGTTGGAAGTGACCAATTTATTATTGTTCTTTTTCTTGAGGGATTATTATCAGGCATGTGGAGTAAGGAAACTTGCCCAAGGGTTCGTCCTGCCGGGAATCAAACCCAGGTCTCTTGCTTGCGAGGTGAGTGTTCTAACCATTGAGCTACAGGACTCCATAATGCTGATTGGAAACATCACTTGGTGGTCAGAGGTAAAGTAGATTAATTTACAGAAGATCATGGTTCCAACATTGTAAACTTCAACCAATTCCTAGAGTTATTCCCAGTCCATGGATGGAAATTGTGACCTACTCTGGCTCAGCACCAGTGGCTTACAACTCAAGTTTCCTGGAAATAGTGTCCAAACACAACTTTGATCAACGATGAGCACTCCCAGCAGATAGCTCAGTATTTGCAGGATTTACTGAATGTTACTACAGTTTGCCCACCTTACCATAGTTATATCTTACCTTATTCCCAGATGCATCCTTTCCCTTCCCTTCTTCTTCCACATGGAATCGGAGATTTTCCAGGAGAATCACACTTCCAGGAGCTGGGTTAGCGCAAGCTTTCTCAACCTCAGGGCCCACACAGTCTTTCAGGAAGGTAATGTCCCTGTTCATAGACGGGAGTGAATCAGGAAAAGTCTCTATACAGTTAAACCATTGAATAAATGAGTACACAAGTAAAGCATGGAACTAAAAAACACACGTAAAAGAACACAAGACTTTACCACCTCAAAGTATCACCAAAAACAATTTAACCTTCATTCATTAAGAGGCTAGCATTGTCTGCAGCTAAGTCACAGTATACTATACTATACTAGACAGCAAATGAACGTGTATACAGGAACAGCACTGTGAAATACAACGAACAAAAATGTTCACACGCTCACGTTTTCATTCACTCCTTACCCATTTTATGATCCCATAAGCTGTTCTCAATTTTCTTTCATCTTTGAAAAGTTCATCAATTTCATGCGTATTCCCAGGGTACACACTAATTTGCGATAAATGTTTAAGAGCCAACCATTTCCCCCCACCTAAACATTTATGAATGATCTCTGGACATGCTGCATAGGACAGAGCTGTATTTAAGTAGGTTGTCACAAAGATGCTGTGAAGTTAGTATACCTTCCCATAAGCTTCTTCAGCTCCTCTGCAACTGGTGCCAGTGAGAACTTGTCAGGCATGGGCACACCATCAGGCCTGCCCAGGTGGCTCATGAGGACCACAGACTTGGCTCCTTTGTCCAAACAGTGCTTAACACTAGGAATGGCAGCTTTGATCCTATAGGAAGCACAACAAGAGGTTTCATGTAAAACACCCAAAGTTACCGACAACCTGAAAACAGTTCCTAGTAATTGATGATAATCCTTATGCAGAATGGAAATAAATAAGACTATTACATCGAGCCAGGCATGCCAGTATTTACAGCAAAAAGACCCCAATACATTTATGATTACAATGTAGGCAGTGCACAATGCTTCATAATAAGGGAAAATCAAATGCTAAATTGAAGATAAAATGGTGGCATCCACTGACCACTTGACACATTGCTGCATAATGCAGTCACTGCCTAATAAGTTGTGTAGAAATGTGGGACATTTGAGTTCTAATGCTCTTGCAGAACCTAAACCCCTGGACTCATTCCTGATTTGTGACTCACTGTTGTTAAGATTCAGAGAGAGAGAGAGAGAGAGAGAGAGAGAGACAACAAATCAATATGGTACACCTCACCTTTGGTTGTTAGTGATCTGATTATTCTTCATTGGCACATTGAAGTCCACCCTGTAAAACAGTGGAAGTGATACTTTCAAGCATCAGTCACAGCAATACACACACTGCACATTAAACAGCACTCAAAATTCACCCTCAAAGGTGAACCGTGAAAAATTATGTGTATCCCGGTTCGCAATTTCCACAGTATTCTATCTAAACAAAATACAAACTCACTGCAGCAAGACCCAGTACTAAAGAGGATTCAACCATGGTCTCGGCTTTCCAGCTGCTCAATGAAATTGGGGAGTGAGAAGAAAACGGCAAAATAAAGTCCTGTGATTGAAATTGCTGGAGAGAAAAGATTGTTCTAAAAATGGGATGTCACGCTGGATCTGAGATTTGCTAAGACGTGGGGAATAGCCCTACAGGGGTATTTACAACACACCCTGCAGCCCTATAATACACATCTATAGCGGCACAGGTTAAACAATCACCCACAGGATGTCTGGGAACAAGATGGCAACCAGTCGCATTGGCTGCAGTTGGGGGAGGGGGAAATCAAACATCAGAAATCCAGCACAAAGTTAGTGAGAGGCTCAAGTCATGACTAAATTCCACCTTAGCCCTGTTATAATCACTATAAGAATATTAAATGTATGTTAGTAAATTGGAACCCTCCCCACACAAACACACAACCAACCGCTCAGAATTATCCCAAACGGTGATCGGGTCCTTTTAACCACCATCTCTCTGAAACAACATTCCCAAATGGATTCATTCGGAAAAGCTGCATGTGAGAGGCGCCCCCCCCCCCCCCCCCACCCACCCCCACTGTTTGCTTTGCTGCATCACCATTGTCCACAGGTCACACAATCTGAAAAGGAGCCCATCACACATCTGCTGTCAGCTGGACAAAGGAGCCAATGAGCAGGAGAAATCCCCCTGACTTGGTGGAATTAACAAGTCCCTGAGCATTATACACGTGTGAGCGAATTTCAAGCAGCTAACCTCCATCTCACTGTACTGAACTTTAATATCCTTAATCCTAGTCACTGGCTGGTTCCCAAACCAACCGTAATATATATAATCCGTAATAAACACTAGACAGCAAATATTATAGATGAAATATCACCAGTGCAGTGGACCTGTGCAATTTAATCACTGCTGCACATCTGAGCACATTTTAAAGACTCATTTTTTTTCCCCCAGTTATGTAGTCAATAAGCCCCTAACCATACCTCATCATAAAATGGTTATGCTTCTTAATATAGGCTGCTGTTTCAGAATACAATATTCATTATTTATAATTGATAGTCTCTCTGCCTTTAGTTCTCTTACTGAAAGCCTTTATCCAGGCCAACCACAAATACACCTGATCTGCTTCCACCACACGTGATTCCTCGCCTCTGCCCTTCTCCTCCAAGCTGCTCACACAGACATATCTCTGCAGCCTCACTGGAGCTTGCTGCTCAAAGCAGATGACATCCTATAATTCTTGAGCTTTAATATTTTATGCCTAATTTACACCGCTGTAATGACCACCCTCCTCACACATCCTTCCAGGAAGTTTTTTTTAAAAAAAAACCATTCTCACCCCCCTCCCCCCAAACAATCAAAATCATCGGCGTCTTTCCTCAAACCTGTCAGGGTGACCAGTTTTGAAACCAGGTCTCCAACTGTCCCATTACAGATTTAGTTAGTGATACAACCGTATTATCTGGAGCACAATTTATAAAACTGCTACTGAAATTGACCCTACTGTTTAATAAAAAGAACAGGAAGCTAAGTACCAGCAATGCTAGTTTTGAAACGCCTTGGTCAAAGTACAACTGAGGTATATAGTTCCTTTAAGTACAACACTAAAAGAAACCTCCATGTAAACTCTGTGAAGCCAGTCCCTGAGGCCGTTCTGAAGATGAGCGATGTGGTAGGCAGCAGCCCAGAGGATACTCTGACCTCTGCCACGGTAAGTGCTGAAATCTGTCATTGGGAGTACAAATGAAGCCTGCTTTTCCAGTACTGTATTTCTGTCCTTCGCAAGAACCAACCAGGCTTCAAATTCATTCATTCGGGGACAAGTGTTTCATACCAGTAACTAGGGGGAAAAGAATATGCTCACGGCACGACATTTAAGATTAAAGGTCACCAGTGAAAGTATTTTTAGATTTCTCAATGAAGCAGGGGGTAAAGGTATCACACGAAAGGTCTCTCTTTGCCCCCTCCAACCCTGAGAAATCCATAGGAAAAATGTAGCCCAGGCAATTTTTTTTAAAATATAAAAATGACTGTTATGCGAATTAATAAAACAGAGAATCAGAAAACAGGTATTACCACAGAGCGAGACAAATCAGTCAGATCTACAGAAACACTGATTCATAGGCAGAATGTGTAACCTGCAACCCTGGCCCCATTTCATCTACACAAAGTTTGTTTAAAAAAAAAGTCTTTTAGACCGGGAATGTCCCTGGATCAATCAGTACCCCATGTGCTGAGACTGCAGCCCTCAGATGGCTTAATGGCCCTGGGTCAGACAGAAGAGATAAAGGAAGAGAGAGGACTTTTCGTCTCCCAACACTGTTCACAAGCACTCACCTCCCCCCCACCCCCCACACACACACACCACCCCCTCCATATTTAAAGATATCAGGAAAGGACAAGGTGTGAGTATCAGAGTTTTCAGGCGCCAGAGGGCAGAATAAATGACTCAATATTCTTTCCGAAGACGGAACACTGCTGTGGGAGGGCGAACTCATTGAAAGAAAGAGGCAATGCAATAAAACCCCATGGGCTCAGTGACCACCCACTCACCAGTGAGGGGCTACAAAAAAAAAGGGGGGGGGGAAAGGGGGAAGAGAATGTATTTGCTGATCTTCACAGCACATGTGCAAAAGTGCCCAAAGTCATTCCACAACCGCACTGCACTTTGACATTCTGTCCCCATTTCACAAGTCACTTACGCAATTCAACCAACAGCTTAACAATGCAATCCCACCCTCACCTTCCTCACCCCCCTCCCACCCTCACCTTCCTCACTCCCCCCCCCTCACCTTCCTCACCCCCCCCTCACCATCCTCACTCCCCTCCCACCCTCACTCCCCCTCCTCACCATCCTCACTCCCCCCCTCACCATCCTCACCCCCCCCCCCTCACCATCCTCACCCCCCCCTCACCATCCTCACTCCTCTCCCACCCTCACTCTCCTCCTCACCATCCTCACTCCCCTCCCACCCTCATTTTCCTCACTCCCCCCCTCACTATCCTCACCCCCCCCCTCACCATCCTCACTCCCCTCCCATCCCTCACCATCCTCACTCCCCTCCCACCCTCATCTTCCTCACTCCCCTCCCATCCCTCACTAACCTCACTCCCCCCCCACCATCCTCACCATCCTCACTACCCCCCCTCACCATCCTCACTCCCTCCGTCTCACCGTCCTCCCATCCCCCCCCTTCACCATCCGTATCCTCAGGGCCCCCTCCCCCCCACGCCACCGCCCCTCTTAAGACAATCCTCACCACCCACAACCTTCCTCTTCATCACTCCCCTCACCATCCTCCTCATCTCACCATCCTCATCAGCCCCCCATCCCCTCCCCCAGACATCAGCCCCACCCGCACCCCCCCCCCCCCTGTGTGTGTGTGTGTGTGTGTGGGGGGGGGTGAGGCCTACCCCCTCCCCAGCCTGACTAAAGCCTCGCTCGCTCGCGTAATAAAGCGCGGCGGCCGCTCACCTCATCACCACCCTCTTGCCCTTCACGTCCACCTTGTCCAAGGTCAGTTTGCTGGAGAGAGACATCTTGTCCTGACCGACTTTTCCTCACAGACACCGACACTGACGCGCGCGCTCGGCCGCTCCTCCAGTCAACCTCCGGGCGGGCGAGTGAGTGAGTGAGTGGACCTGCGCTGCGCGGACCTAACCTGCTAGCTCAGCCCAGCCCCGCCCCTCGCCCGCTGATTGGTCTCCGCCGCGCACTCCTCCCCGCTCATTGGTCCGCGCCGCTGCCACTCAGCGCCATACCTCCGCCCCCTCCGCTCCTCCCCCCCCCCTCGCGCCGCAGCCAAGTTCGGTTGCGCCAATGCGGCTGCGTCAGAGCTGCGGAGTCACGTAGAGCACGTAGCCTCCACCGCCCCGCCCCCCTACCGCCCCGCCCCCCCACCGCCCCGCCCTCATCACACCGCCTGTCAATCAACCAGGACCTGTCAATCAACCAGGACCTGTCAATCATACCCGGGCTGTAATAATAATAATAATAATAATTTGGTCACTCCATAATATTGCGCCTCATCACATCATTGAGACGTGGTCTCAAAGCGCTCCACGCAATATACTGTAAAGTGTAGTGACTGTGTACTTTGTGGGCGAAAGGCTATGCTCGAATGGTATGGCTGCAGCACAGGCGGAGGCTGCTTGGTCCACTGCGTTGCTCTGGCTCTCCCCCCCCCGAAGGCTGCTCACTCCCTGCTGGCCCCACTTGCCAAGTCTGACCCTCCACGAGCTCTGAGACGCTGCCCCGCGTGGAGAGCGCGATATAAGTGCAAGTTGTTGCTATTGTACTACAGATTATCCAGAACTCTACAGCTCGTGTCCTCTCCTGCACTAACCTCTGTGACCCTATCACCTCCCCCACCCCCTATCCTCGCCCGGCTTCACTGATCCACCCATCCCCGAGGATCGAGTTCAAGATCCTCGTCCTCACTTTTAAAGCCCTCCACGGTGTTGAAGCTCTCCGGGACACTAACCTGCATGAAGGGAGCTATATAAATGCAAGCTGTTGTTGATCCCTATCTCTGCAACCTACCAAAACGTTATCAACCTGTCCGAGACCTCCGCTCGGCCCGCATTGTGTAAAAGTATGCAATCCGGAATGGTGAGAATAGCTGAAACGCACAGAAACCCGATACCTTTTCAGTTGCTGAGAGGGCAAAGACAGCAACCTTTGTTCGTCTGCATCTGAATGCAGGCTTTAACCTGCCCCATTGATCAGACACTAGGAACAAATAAGCCGGTGACTCGCGTGATCGCACACGAGATGCTGCTTTTCACAATTACCAGCAGGTAGCAGTGTTCGTTTGGATCAGAACTTAGTTTCTCACTCCTCGCAGTACTGTCCTTCTTCTTCCAGGAGGCAGCGCTGTCTGGGAACAACAAGTCAACATGCAATTTGGGAAGGGAGAGTTTGGGGATGATCTACTTCTCACTAGTTGAAATTATAATAATAATAATAATTAGAGAGTATGGGAATGAGAAGAGGCCATTCAGCCTCTTCAGCGGTGCCTTCGGTCACCCTCCTACCCCTCCCCTCCCGATCCCAACCACCAGCTTGGGTGCGGATCCCTGACTATCCAGCGCCTTGGGACATGAAAGCCGCTGTACAAATGTAATTTGTAGCTGGTGCATACCCTGAGATGCTACCCTGCGTGAGTGGCATTATATAAATGCAAGTTGTTGTTGTCCTGAATGCTAGACCCGTACATTGTTAACGATCAAGGAGAAACCCCGACACAAGAAAAGTAAAGGCAAAAGTGAGAGCTTTTAAGAGTATAAATAAAGGCACATTATATACTTTATTCATCTGTACAATAATAAATCATGTGTAAATTTACAAAAAATAGTACACACCATATCTTCACAACACAAGACGCTTCATACAAAGAAAAGGGGATATTGACCATTGACAGGAATGTGAACAGATGCAGAGTATAGACATAGAGAGAGCGACCCATCCGGTTAGGGACTCTTCCTGCAGATGAGTTTATGCTCAATCGGGTTTTATTTCAGTGGTGGGTGAGGGAGAGAAGAGAGAGAGGGAGATTTAGATTATAACTATCCCTTTTGAGCGTTAGATTACACTAGGTCTCAAAAGGGAAAGTTGAGAAAGAGGGAATAGGAAGAAAGGTTGTTGAAAGTTTGTTGGGTGCTCGGTCATTTGAGGGTCTGATGATGAAGGGTCACAACCAAAATTTTAAACTTCTCTCTCTGGTTCACTTGGATCATTATGTGTTTGTATTGTGGGGTTAGAATGCTCTTTCATACCATCCTGGCTAAAGGCTAGGAATCAATCCCTGTGCATCTATCTGGTTTATGATCACAGTGTAAAGTCTCACCTTCAAACCCAGTCACAGGAGACGTGGCTCTGGAACCCTCACAACACACTAGCACTCAATAGGGTGTCACATCCCCTCTCTCCCTGCATCCCCCACCTTTCTCAACTTCCTTCAGCACCCAAGAGTAATGCAAATTCCTGGCCCATTTCTGAATGTGGGATGAGTAAAAAGAACCTGAAAACTCGAGTAGCACCTCAATGGGGAACACAGGAACTCTGAGCACAGCAGATAGAAAACTCCCAGCACCACCACCGCCTGAGAGAATGCAGAGGAGGGCAAGAGCTGCTTCTCATCACCTTGACCGACTTACTGACCATCAGGTCCGCCATGTCAGGTTCAGACCACTGTTCACTAAAGCCCGTGTTTAGCAGAGACACAGTACAGCACAGTTTATGCATCAGCTTCATATTTGGATTTCCATTTCAGATATGTACGTGGAAGCTACACTACTGTACCAATCATGCCTCACCAGCCTTTACAATGCATCTTACAATAACTACAATCTTACAATACAATGCTATAGTTATAAAGTGGCTAAAAGACAGACAGAATTTAATAAAAAACAGCAGCGGAAATTACAAAGAGCAAGTGTGAGAGAGGCAGGAAGTTGGGGGAAACATGGCTGGGGGTTTGATCCTTGCTCGGTCGTTTGTGCGCCTGATGATGAACGGTCATAACCTAAATGTTAACCGCACTCTCTCCCTCTCATTTCCCTTGCTTTCTCTCTCTTCTCTCCCTCCCTCTCTCTGTTTCATTTGCATTATTATGTGTTTGTAAAATGGTGTGTAGTGTGCCTTCACACCCTGAGCAAAAAGAGCTGGAGTGTTCCCCAGGAAGTATTGTGTTTTTAGGAAGTTTTCACTATGTCTTCTCTTCAGAAGGGAAATCTCTCTCAGACAGCCTCAGGCAGGGAAGTCATTGCTGATTAGAAAGATCCTCTTCAGTCTGTCCTCATCTACATATACAACATTCTCGATGCTTCCAGCGTTTCCCTCAAGCAGTCTCTCTTGTCAGAGCTATCTCTTTGGCTTTTATCATTCAAAAATCAACACAACTTGAGAAATGAATGTTTAACCACCATTTTAAATTGTCTCCTCTCCTCACCTGAAGGCATTTTAACTCAATTTACTTTCCCCTGGGGCAGGTAGTGCACTAATGCCCATCACTCCCTGAAGCTACACCCAAGAAACTATACGAGATTATTCCTGTGTGAGTCTGGCCAGTGAGCGTTGACAGAGCATTTTTTGGTGACCCTGTACCTGAGCCAGCTCCTGTCCTCACCCAATCAAACACACTTTAGCCTACAAAATACAGTCACCACTTTACAGTAAATCCTGTTATTATAGATAGACATGAAAGTTCCAATCAGCTTTTTTTTGAAAAAAGGAGGAAGTTCCTCTCTCCCCGTGCCCTGGCCAACAATCCCCCAAATAAAATAAAAGCTGTTTGAGGAACTCCTCCTCCGTGCATAGAGGCTGCTTTCCTACAAAAAAAAGTCACTTACATTTGACAATATTTACGTGCAAAGTGTTTGAGACATTGACATCTTAAGCGTTGGATCGAATGTAAGGATTATAAAGTGAAACATATAGCCTGAAGTCTTTACCAGTGTGAAGTGAAGCTGCCGGCAGCATTTGTCAAGTAACATGATTCCTTCCTTCCAGTAAATTAATAAATCGTGATTTTTTAAAAAAAAGAAAATTAAAAAAATAAAGTAGTTTCCCGAGGTGCTGTGTAGCAAACGAGCAGAGGAACAGCTGAGAGCTTTGTGGGTCCCATCCCATAAAATATCAGGACTAGCGTTTTAAGAGACAAATCAGCTCAATAAATTTGTGTATGTTTTTACATAAAACTACTGCAGCAACAAATCCTGTAGCGTAGTGGTAAGTGCGCTCACCTCGCAAGCGAGAGGACCCGGGAAGGGCAAAACCTTGGCCAAGTTTCACACACACACACACACACACACACACACACACACACACACAGAGGCTCAAATAGAAAGAGAAAACTAATGAAAGGACAGGAATAATTTGGGAAAGTCTAGATTTCTTCGTGCAGAAGGCAGTAAGAGAGAGGAAAGCACAAGTTACGAAGGTTGCAGAGTGTTCACAATGGAGAGATATTTAGAGACTTGCGGAGTCAGCGATGTTGGGGAAAAGATGGGGAAATGGGACTAAAAGATCTACTAAAATGGCAGAACAGGCTCGATGGGCCGAATGGCCTCCTCCTGTACCTTTGTTCCTATGAAACGTTGATCCCTGCCCTCAAGAGCCAGAGTTTTGTCCTAACTGGGCAGCAAAGGACTAAAGGACAAATTGCGACACCCAGTGGTTGGGTCACTAAAGTAGCATTAACCGACCCCAAGAGGTCAGGAGTTGGTCAGGAGTCCAGTTACTTTGGTTGGGCAATGTCACCAGTTCCTGGTTTGCGTTACCAGGTTGGCTCAGTGTGAGAGAAGATAAGAGAGAAGAGAAAACTAACATCTAGCCCTCTTTACCCTCCTGGGGATGCAGGTAAAAGGTCCAAAATATATATGAAGTTGTTAGTGTTGCGCAGGCTCGGAGAGAAGCACTGATCCGCTCCCACCCTCTGCCCGTTCACACCTGTATCCTACACCAGTCCCGGGTGTCGGAGAGAGGAGACGAAGCCTGAGGTTTGACGATGGCGTGCGTGTCGGGGCTGCGGCTCAGACTACATCCTCCTCGTCCCTGCCCAGGAGCAGAGTGTGACGGTCCGCTTCCTGCAGTGGGATGTTGGTGCCGGAGCGCTTCTCCGAGCGCAGAGAGTTGATGGAGGCTCGGCTGTAGTGCACGAAGCGGTCCAGCAGGCTGAGCTTCGGGGACTCACGCTTGCTCTCGCCCATCCCGATGTGCACGCTGATCTCCGACAGAGACCTGTGTTTCAGGCGGTGCCGTGCTCGGTGCTCGAGCTTCGCGGGGTCGGGTTTCTTGTAACTGACGGGAGAAACGGACAGAGATCACCATCAGGAGAGGACTTCATAATAATAATAGTAATAATAATAATAAATTCACTCATTGATCACCGCGTTTAAAAAACCTTTCTAATAAAAGGAGCGGTCCCTTTCCGTCCTCTCTCAGTGATCCGAACCATCCCTTCGAAACTACTCGAAACGTACGCTTTTACAATTTTGAGCTGGTGTGTTTTGCTTGTGGGATGGGAGCACTCACAGCTTTAGGAGGAGCGAGGAGACCACCACCGAAACAGACGAGGCTGCCATCGCTGCCGAACCCATCCACGGCTGCAGGACCAGCCCCACTGGCAGGAAGACCCCTGAGATGGCACAGAACACGTCAGGTCAGAGAGAGAAATAATAATATTAATGATAATCTTTGCATTTGATACAGCGCCTTATCACATCTTCGAGAGTCTCAAAGCGCTTCGCAGAATATGCTGTAAAGTGTAGTGACTGTGTATTTTGTGGGCAAAATGCGGCAACTAATTGAGCACAACAGTGTCCCACAAACAGTGACCAATTTTGTTTTTGAGGGGATATTACTCCCAGAAAGCGATCCGTCAATCCACCATCAATTGGGTTCCTACTTATCTCTGGGTCAACATAGGCGTGTGGAGTAAAGAAACTTGTGTAAGGTTTCGCCCCGCCCGGGAATCGAACCCGGGTCCTCTCGCCTGCGAGGCGAGGAATAAAGAAAGTCAAACTCACTTACCAGCAGCAATAGGAACACCAATAATATTGTAGATTAAAGCAAACACAAAATTTATCCGGATTCGTCTGACGGTCTTTTTGGACAAGTGAACGCTGGCCACCACATCCAGGAGGTCATTCTGTGGAGAAAAGGAATCAGTCAGCCCAACATGAACCATCACCCTGGTCAGACAGGGAGCAAACCAGTAAGGGAGCAAGGCAGCAGTTGTCGGTTGTCTAAGAACTCAGGATACAAGTGCTCTGATGTCCCCTTTTACAACTGGGCCTAAAAACATGCGGGTTATGCTCGCTGGACACAATTAATGTCTCATCGCTGTACTCAGCTGGAGGATGAGCTCAATGTCCCTGAATTTCTGACCCTGAAGTGAGAATCTACCCCTGAGCCTGACTGACCGACTTGCACCGAGCAACAACAAAGGCGTATTCAAAGAGGACGGTCTTGAGAGAGGCCTTAAAAGAGGCGAGGGAGGGACGAGGTGGAGGGACTGTGGGATGGAGTTCCAGAGTGGGGGCAAAGAGGCTGATGTTTGGGCAGTCAGTTTGTTGCTACTCACTCGGATCAATACCACGTCAGCGGCTTCGATGGCCACATCTGTGCCGGTGCCGATGGCGATGCCCACGTCAGCCATGGCCAGTGCCGGGGAGTCATTGACTCCGTCTCCCACCATCGCCACCACCTTCCCCTCCTTCTGCAGCTGGGCCACCTTCGCCACCTTGTGTGAGGGCAGGACTTCAGCGAACACCTTGGTCACTCCTACCTGATGGGATAGCGCAGCAAGAACAGGTCAGTGAGCAACGTGGCTCCCTCTACATCTCACGTGACACGGACTGTGAACACCACCTGGACCCTTACCTGAGCAGCAATGGCTCTGGCTGTCTTACTGTTGTCTCCAGTCATCAGAACCACCTCCAGACCCATGCTGATCAGCGTGTAGACAGCCAGCTCTGCCTCTGGCTTCACAGTATCTGCGATGGCTATCATTCCGAACAGCACTCCTGTGTGAGATTGCAAAAGATAGCACGTGGTTATGAGGTTACACTGGAGCAATCAGGCCATCAGCACTAGGCAGAGAACATTAAGAGGGGATTTCATCAATGTTCAATATAAGCTCAGGGTTGTCACTACACAAGTGTTGGAGGAGAGGGAAGGAATATTGTTTTCCTCCCACGCAGACGGCCAGTAGAACATGGATTATTTTACCACATCGGGTTCGCTGAAGCCTGAGACCAAAAGAACGTTTAAAAAGAAACCAGATGGGAAGTGGAACAATGTAAAGGGGAATGTGGAGTAGAGAGAAGAAAGCTCCTGGGGGAAGGTGAGGAATTTAAGGAATTATTACCCCCGGAAACTGATCCGCCAATCGTCTAACAACTGCATTCCTACTTACTGCCAGGTGGAGTAAGGAAACTTGCCTACGGTTTTGCCCTGCTCCATGCTTTCTCAGGCTAGCTATCTGTCTATTCACAGGCGGCTGGAGTGGGCAGAGGCTCAGGTTCTTACCGTCCACAGCGATGAGGATGGCCGTGTGCCCCTGACTCTCATGCTCAATCATGGCGTCGTCCACCTCCCCGCTGACGTGCAGCCCGTTCCTCTTCATCCACTCGCGGTTCCCAATCAGCACCAGATAGGCCAGCGAATCACCAGCCCCTGTGTGTCCAAACCACACAGTCAACAACATTACATCAAAAAACCTTATATCATGTTTGAATTATGAGTCTTCCCCACTCCCCTCACTAATTATCCCCCTCATAGTTAGAAGGCATTTAATGAGGTGCCAGAGGGAGCCATGGACCGGGAACTGTCCATCTCGTAGATTGTTCACTGGGGGGGGGAATTCCATGGGTTTCCCTGGGAGGAGATACAGGGAGAAGTGCGAAGAAACTTAGTCCACCTCGCCCCCTCCCTGGTCTTCTTCAAGGCCCGTCTCAAGACTGCACCTTCGGTCACCCTCCCTCCCTCACCCACCCACCGCCCCCTATCCTCAACCCCTATCGATTTCAACCCCCAGCTCAGTTTCAAACCCTTCGCTGTCCAGGGCCTTGGGACGACCTCCTGATATGAAAGGCGCTATGTAAATGTAAGTTGTTGCGAGTCAAGACAGACAGAGGCCACCCTCACAGCGGGTGTCGGACGCCGTGGTAATGAGAGAAGCCACTGACCTGCGGACTCCTTGGTGAGCTGTTGTGGTGAGGCGTCTCCACAGCTCCGCTCGTCGATCTGAATCAGCATAGAGTTCCCCTCGACGCGCTCCTCTGCACTCCGACTGCTCCGGTTCAGCACCGACTCCAAGTTGGAGACTTTACACTTGATTCCGCAGCCCGGGACAGCTTGAAATTCCGAACAAGAGCCGAGGATTTCTAACCCCAATTGCTAAATTGTGGGGTGGGGGGGTGGAGAGTAGAGAGAGACGCAACAACATTCGACACGTTAAAATGGGCATAAATAATAGTGTGGCAGGAAAGAGACGCACACATAACAATCTTTGCATTTGACATAGCCCCTTACTGCGTGGTTCAGACATCTCAAGGCGCTTCATAGAATATACTGTGAAGTGTATATTTGTGAGCGAAACGCACACAGCAGTGTGCCACAAACTGTCGTGGATTGAGTGATTTTTTTTTGGAGGGGGGGTATTATTAGCCACCGGAAAGCGATCCTTTAATCGAGCAGGTTCCTACTTACTACGCAATAAACAGGGGCTTGTGGAGTAAGGAAAGTTGCCAAAGGTTTCGACCCGACCCAGGAATCGAACCCAGGCCTTCTTGCCTGTGAGGCGAGCGCGCTAACTATGCTACAGGACTCCACATACATACACACACACCTGCTTACAGTACTTGGTCACAGCCACCCCCAGAGGGTGCTCGCTGCTGGTCTCCGCGGTGCCGATCACAGCCAGCAGCCTGGTGCGAGGCATGCGGTTACTCTCCGTCAGCATCTCCAGCTTCATCACAACAGGCGTTCCGTGGGTCACTGTCCCCGTCTTGTCAAACACCACCGTGTTAATCTGAGCCGGACATAGGAGGGTTACTGCTCTGCACAGTGAGACCTGTTAGTTCTCAGAGAGAGAATGTGTGGAGCCAATATAGAGCAGTGGATTCTCCTTTGATGGGTGGTGGAAAGCAGAACAAGGGGCATCCTCTTAAAAATAGAGCCAGGCTATTTAGGAGCAAAATCAGGAGGCAATTTTTCATCCACAGGGGAGTAAGAAATCTGGAAATCTCTTCCCTCCCCCAAAAGGCTGTGGATTATGGCTGGATCCATTCATGTTTTCCAGACTGAGGTGGATAAATATTTGTTAGGTCAGTGGATCAATGGATATGGGCAGAGGTGTGTAATTGGAGTTGAGGTACAGATCAGCCATGTGCGCATCCTGTCAGACCTACCTTGTGTGCCATTTCCAAGGGCTCCCCTCCTTTAATAAGGATGCCATTCTGTGCCCCTACCCCAGTACCCACCATCACAGCGGTGGGCGTTGCCAAGCCCAGGGAGCAGGGGCAGGCAATGCACAGCACTGTGATGGAGGCCTGGAAGGCAAAGCGGATAATCACCTCCGGGTGAGACAGGTTCCTGTTGTAACCCTGTTAGACAGCGAGAGGGAGAGAGAGAGAGAGAAGAGAAACTCAGTCTGAGACGCCGGGTATAAACCCAACAAAATCATCCATTCAGCACCACCGAGAGAGACAGAAAGAGAGAGAGAGAGAAAGAGAGAGCGACAACTGGATAGAAAACATCCAGCACTTTATGGGGTGGGGCTATTGAGTTTTTTTTAAATGGATGGGGCGATTGGCAAAGGCCAGCACACAATTAAAAAACACTTGTTCATTTTTCAATCATACTTATGCACATACTCAGGAGAGACGGACAGATATTTGTTAGGTCAGGGATATGGGGCAAGGCCAGGTAACTGGAGTTGAAATACAGATCAGCCATAATCTAGCAGAATGGTGGAACAGGCTTGAGGGGCTAAATCTCCTTCTCCTATGTTCCTTGGCTAACAGTCACTTGGACATCGGGATCTGCCCAACGTCACAGCTCAGTGTGAGGAATGGCCCACCACATCTGGGTAGTGCGCTCATAGGGAATCTGCAGAAAACAGGTCACGCCAGCAAGTTGCTGAGACCAGCAGCAACTCCCTCTCCCTCACTTGCGTGACTGTCCTTAATCTACTCAGCGCTTTAAGCAGCCAGCTTTATGATGAGGATAAGCACACAGGGTGCTCCTGATTAGCTCATCTTTCTAAGTAGCTGCACATGTTAGTGGGCAGGGAAGAGAATAATGATAATAATCCTTGCATTTGATATAGCGCTGTATCATATCTTGCAGACGTCTCAAAGTGCTTCACAAAATACTGTAAAATGAATTGACTGTATATTTTGTGGGCAAAACGCAGCAGCCAATTGTGCACAACAGCGTCCTACAAACAGTCGTGGATTGAGTGATCACATTTTTAAAAACAAATGGCTCCCCCTTCATCCCACCCCACGAGTGCCAACACTTACGGGCACGTACATCTCCACGAGGTCGAACTTTAGAAAGCCGATGATGATCCAGGCGATCAGGGTGACGATCGAGACACCAACGATAAGCGGCACGAAGTAACCGCTCAACTTGTCGGCAAACTGCTGGATGGGAGCCTGAAACAAGAGGGTGGACAGTGTGGTCAGAGCGAGCACAAATAATAAGAAGATTTTGGTCCCTTAATCCACGACTACACTGCTGTACACAATGGGCTGCCGCGTTTCCCCCACAAAATACACAGTCAATCCACGTTACGGTAAAATATGTGAAGAGCTCAACAACGTGATAAGACGTAATATCAAATGCGAGGATTATTATTATTATTGCTCAAACACAGCTTTACTTCACACTGAGATCACACAGGTTGCTAGCTGGTGTTAGCCACTCTAATTGCTCTTTCCCTGCACCCTATTTATTGTATCTCTTCAAATACTTATCCAGTTTAGTTCCGTTTTAAAATGTTGCTGTGGTGAGGGAATAATCTTTCACAAGCTGTTTTAACCTTTCAGGATTTTGAAGAACCTTGTATTAAATCCCCTCTTAAAACTTCTCTCCTGTTCCGTTGATCAGCTGGCCGGCTTGCCCCCTACACTCAGCTAATTCTCTCTCTCTCGCTGTCTCTGTATGTCTCACAAGGCTTTTGCAAGTTGGCAAACAAACCCAGATAAATCTCACAGGACTACGAATGCTATACAAATCAGTTTCAGAATGAAAATGTCAAAACAGATCAGCAGATAATGTGGCAGCTCAGAAGAAACTGCACATTCTCTCCAGATCTGCCCGAGATACAGCCGACGACGGCATTGCACAGGGCCCGAGTAGAGAAGGAAAAACTGTACCTTGGAGGTTTGCGCCTCTTCCACCAGTTTGACAATCTGGGAGAGGGTGGTGTCTGACCCGACGTGAGTGGCTTCGATCAACAAGGCTCCGTGCTGGTTGATGGAGCCGGCGATGACAATGCTATCTAGTTTCTTAGTCACCGGCATGGCTTCCCCTGAGAAACAAGCAAGGCTGATGAGAACCTACACACCCGCGACACAGTGAACTGCTCTCTACAAATACGTCCTGATTCAAGATCCCTTGGCGTTGCCCTCCAACCCTCTCTGATCCCAAACCCCAGCTCAGGTTCAAACCCCTCATTGTCCAGCTCCTCCCGATGTGAAAGGCGATGTGTCAACGCAATTTGTTATTGTTGGCATCACAGCCAAACCTAATCCTGGTCTCCTCTCCGTCACCCACACCTACGCCTTCAAGCTGCTTACCAGTGATCAGGGATTCATCAGCCATTGAATATCCTTCGATCACTCTGCCGTCGACAGGGAATTTGCCTCCCGGGACCACCTTGACAATGTCCCCTCGCTGCACCAACTCAACATCGATCTGCTCCTCACTGTTGACACAACACCAAAAAAAATCTAGGTAAACAGAGGCGTGTGTGTGGAGTAAGGAAACCTGCCTAAGGTTTTGCCCTGTATCCCAGAAGGACAAAGAAATCACAAACGCCCTTCATCAGAGAAGGGGAAGAAAAAAAAACTTTGTTAAGACCTAAACGTGAGACAAGTTTGAAATACGCACCTGAGAATAGATCTGTTACGGCCCAGAGTCACTATAGTGGCCTCGGTGGCTTGTAAGGACATCAGCTTCGCTAGCGCCTCAGACGTTTTGCTCTGTGAGTAGTTTGAGGAAAATAATAACAACAATTTGATATAGTGCCTTTTCCCGTCTTCGAGACATCACAAAGCGCTTCACAGAATATACTGTAAAGTGTATTGACTGTATATTTTGAGGGCGAAACGCGGCAGCCGATTGCACACAGCAGCGTCCCACAAAAAAAGTTTTAAAAAGTATTTAGGAAAAGAAGCCCCGCTGAACAGGTTACTCCTGTTAAACACAGTCATACAGCCGGCTGGCAGTCCCACTCCATGGACGTGAGTGTGCGACCAGCCGTGCAGTATAGTCAGCAGAAGATCACAGGAGAAATACAGGGTGACCACAAATTCCTGTTACCCTCCCCCTCCCATTTTTTCTACAGTGCCCTAACCAACAACTGATACACGTGGTAGAATGATGATGATTGTATTTAGAAGTTACCTAATTGTATTCAATACAAATGTTTAACTGGATTTAGACATCCAGAGGATTGGTGTGTGTGTGTGTGTGTGTGTGTCATTATTTTCATGGCAGATAATGATTCATCGCCATGTTCAGTGCCACATCTTCCGTAACGTGGATGGAGTGAGGAGACAAAATGCATCTTTGACAGCTTGTTTCAGCTCCTCCGTAGTCTCACATGGCTTTTCTCTCACTCTGCAGGTAACGGGACTTTGTGGACGGCCTGTGCAAGCCCGTCCGCCCTGTTGGTCCACTCCTCACCTTGGCGATGTGTTCGAGCCACCTCCCCAGGCCGATGAAGACGAACAGCATCGGTGGGGTGTCGAAGAAAGTGATGGGGTTCACCTTGGCCTGTTCCACTATAGCAACAGCCAGGACCACACAGGAGTAAACAAAGGCCACCGTCGTGGCCAGAACAATCAGGACATCCATGTTCGCAGTCTTGTGCTTCACCGCATTATAGGCCTGGATGTAGAAGTACCAGCCTCCGACAACCTGAGAGAGTGAGGATCACAAGCTGGTCAAAAACTACACCTTAATAGCTTAGAGACAGCTATCTCTCTCTCACTAAAATATTCACAAATACTCAATCCTTACAAACGACGATGTAACATCGACTCAAAGATCGTCTAAACGTCTCACAGCGCTTTTTGATCCTGGTAGTCGATTGGTGGACGGCCGTTAATAATCTTTTCAAAAAAAAAAATTGGCCTATGCTGTGTGGGGTAAACAGAGGTGTGTGGCTCACACCTGTACACACCTGGACGGGCAGGCAGAGCACGAACGATAGCAGGTTCATAACCGAGAGCCCAGGGAGGATCTGGCGCTCCAGGAACATGGAGGAGTGGTGCTTCTCCAGCTCCCCGGCACTGGCGTTGTTGTAGTGGTGGCTGTAGAAGACGTGGTCCACAATCATCATGTAAATCATCATGCTCATCACGGGCACACAGAACACCAGGCTGATCACAAAGGATCGTCTCCATCTGAAACAAACAAACACACAAACAACCCCACGTAGAATCCCGCAACGACTGTTATTTTCGGGAATAACGACCCGTTCCTGCTGCGATTGAACGACAGACGCCCGGCTAAAGGGGAAACTCACCGGCGGATTTCTTCCCTGTGGTCCAGGTGACTCGTGGAGCGATCTCTTTTGACTAAGGAAGCCTCGTAGCCGAGATTCTACAGAGCAAACAGAAACGACGAGGAGCCATCAATCAGCAGCCCTCGGTCGTGGGGCCGTCCTCAAAGTGTGACACAAATTTCGTCGATAAAACAGGATTTCGATTACTGATTTGTACCAAGATTAAAATCTCCCTAAATATGTTTTTTTTGGGGGGAAGGAGTGCAGAGACAGGGAAAATCTGTTTTGAACACACTATATTTCCTCTATATCCACTTATCATAGAGAGAGCACACATCGGGCATCTATGAGACACGGATATAAATAATAATAATCCTTGCATTTGTTATAGCGCCTTAGCACGTTGTTGAGACGTTTTAAAGCGCTTCACAGAACATACTGTAAAGTGAATTGACTGTGGACTTTGTGGGCGAAACGCAGCAGCCAATAAATTATCAGCACTGAGATATCAGATCCAGTAAAAACACAGTCACTGCGGATAGATCAAAACTCTCTTCGGATGGTTAACCTGCAACTCAGCAGCTAACTGCAGATCCACATCCACCAGACTGCTCCCAACACAACAATCTACAGCCCAAACACAGCACCTCACCAGCTCATCGGTCACAGCGAAGGGGAGCTTACCGCAATACACTTGATCACATCGCGAGGGCCAATGGACTCCGGGTCAAACTTGATGTGGGCTTTGTTGGTTGCAAGAGCTACGGATGTATACAATATACCTTTGGTTTTCATGAGCGTCGATTCAATATTATGGACACACGAGGCGCAGGTCATGCCTCGGACCTGGGTACAAGATACAAATAGTGTCAGACTCGTCAGTTTGTTTTCTTCTCTATGTGGAGTGTCTGCGCTCCACAGCTGAAGTTGGAACTCCTCCCGCAGCACGTTCCATAGGAGGGATATCCAGGCATCAACAACAAACAACAACTCATGCATTGATACAGCGCCCCTCGCGCAGGGTAGCGTCTCGGATCGATCAAACCCCAGGCTCCCAGTCCGCGTGGCTGACACCAGGGCTCACGCGAGACATTTAAATACTTTTCCTATTGTGAACAATTCACTAACGTGGAACCAAGACTCACAATAAGCTCCAAATGACCGTCTGACCCATCGTAATCCTCCAACACAGAGGCACCAAAGCCCAGCTCCTTGATGAACTCGGCAATGTCTGGGGGCTTCACGACGGCTGGGTTGTACCGTACCTCAGCTTTCCCCGCCATCAGAGCCACCAGCACAGAATAGATACCTTAACAAGAGACACAGAGAGAGAGAGAGAGAGAGAGAGTCAAATTCATAGCAATTCCTGGGAATACTCAGCAGGTCAGGCAGCATCCATGGAGAGAGGAAAGTGAATTAACGTTTCAGGTCGATGACCTTGCGTCAGAATTCTCTCCATAGATGCTGCCAGACCTGCTGCGTGTTCCTAGCAATTTCAGACTTCCAGCATTTGCAGTGTTTTTTGCCTTTTGTTTCTCAAGCGATTTCTACTGCCTTTGACTTATACATCTGTTTATTACTGACCCGATTTTATACAACTTGAATACAATTTGCCTGCAACTCGGACTAGGGGCAAGTCATGTTAAATGTCATGGTCCCGACTGATAAGCCTGAGGTGCGTTTTACTGTACAATCTGGTGCGAGCTGGCGAGACGCAGAGCCAAAATAAGTGTCTCCTCTCACCGTTTTCCCGCTTGAGGTTCCTCTCGATGTTGGCCACGCAGGAGGCGCAGGTCATGCCGTTGACTTGGATGAAGCATTTTGTCGCGGTCGGAGCCTCGGAGCTGAGGACTGAGTTGTCGGGTTCCTGCGGCTGGACCTCGCTCTTGATTTTGGGCGCCCAGGTTTCACACGTCCCGTTCCTCAGCTTTCTGTCCCTCACGGAGACTTGGGGGAGAACTTCAGCCGGCAACACTGCTGCTTCTGTGCTCACTGCAAAGGTGTCAATTCGGTTACACGGTTACTGTTTGAGATGCTATTTTAATTTGATAGGATGGGGGGAGGGGGGTGGGGAACAACAACAACTTGCAGTTATATAGCATCTTTCATACCGGGCTGCGGCTCGGAGGAGGGGGAAAACAACAAATTATATTTACACAGCGCCTTTCAGGTCAGGAGGGCGTCCCAAGGCGCTAAAGAGTCAGGATTTGTACCTGAGCTGGTGGTTGGGATCAGGAGCGGTAGAGGGTAGGGGAGGAGGGTGACTGAAAGCGCGGTGGAAGAAGAGGGTCTTGAGACGGGCCTTGAAGGTGGCAAGGGAGGGAGCGAGGCCAAGGGACGTTGGGATGGTTTTCCAAAGGGTGGAATTCTGTGGCAGTGTTTGGAAAAGAACATGTTATTAAGTAGCAACATTACCAGGAAGAGCTGCGTCGAATCCCATATCATCCACGGCCGACCTCAGCTCCTCAGGATTGGTGAGCAGAGGGTCGTACTCCACCGTCCCTGTGCTCTGCGCCAGAGAAACCGTAACAGACAAGACACCGTCCCCTCTGGAGAGGGTTTCCTCTATAGATCTCACGCAGGAATTGCAGGTCATCCCCTTAATGTCAATGACTGCCACACTGGTCGGGCACCGCTGGGTGGTGGAGTGCGGCAAAGGCTGTGGTGGTGAGGTTGCTGACGCACAGGGCACCAATTCCTCGGAGCTAAATCCGTCAACCACCGAGACTTTGAAGCCGCCAGGAGGTAGGGTCTCAATAGCTTCACATAAGGCATTTGGTGTGGTGAGGGCAGGGCGGTACTGTAGAACAGCCCTCTTGTCTTCCAGAGAGACTTTGACGTTCTCTACGGCAGAAAGTGCTGCTAAGTTACTCTCGATGTTAACGACACAGGAGTTGCAATGCATTCCCTGTATTGAGAGCACCAGACAATCGGTCACCTCCTCTGCCCTGGGCTTGAGCACCTGCTGTGGGGGGTTGGTGTTCACCAGGCTGCCAATGTTAACGTCCAGCTTCAGGGGTTTGGTCTTGTTCCTGATGGTGGAGGGGAAGCCAGCGCTTTCGATCTGATTCCTGAGCTCCTCGGCTGTGATGAGGTGGGAATTGTATACAATGGTGGCTTCCTGACTCGTCAGCGAAACTGCAAACCAAACCAAAAGGATTGAATTATCAAGTAAAAGTAATAATTGAACAGGAGGGAGGTTGGAGTGAAGAGGGCCCACTTGATCTCACGCTCCCTGAATACCTATCCCACCCTGTCCACCCATTATAGCAGGGGAGTCCTGTAGCGTAGTGGTTTGCGAGCTCGCCTCACAAGCGAGAGGACCTGGGTTCGATTTCCGATATGGCAAAACCTTAGGCAACCTTCCACCTGAACAGGCAGATGGGGATCCAGGTTTAACATTTCATCCAAAGGGCGGCACCTCCGACAATGCAGAGCTCCCCCCCCCCCACCCAGTGCTGCACTGGAGCATCAGCTTAGACGGTGATCTCAATGGCTTTGACACGGGGCTTGAATCAACAAGGAGAGATTTTTTCCCAACCCAAAAAAACAATGACTGACCTTTAATCCGCTGGACGCCCTGTAGTTTCCCGACTTTGCCCTCAATGGTGCTGCAGCAGGAGTGACAGGTCAGGCCCTCCACCCTCATCTTCACCACCATTTCGCTGCCATGGTTTAACCCAGGTTCCTCGGTGGCTGAACACCTGTCGTCTGCCGTAGAATCCCCAGCGGGCAGCCCCTCGCTCTCCTGGCCGGGGGTCCCCGGGGTGGGGAGGTAGTCTGGAGTCGAGGGGCTTTCATCCAGCAATCTCTGTCCGTCCCCCCCCTCAGGTGGGACGCGTGACTCTCTGCCGGTGCAGGGGGAGGGGGCTGGGAGGCCGAGGAGTGAGGTTTCCGCAGTGACGGGGATCGTGCCATTGTCGCTCAAAGTGGCCTTAAATCCCATGTCGTCGATGGCTTCCTGCAGCGACTCCGGGCTCTGGAATTCCGAATCGTACATAATGGCAGCATTGTGGTTGTCCAGCGAGACCTGAGGATGGGGAGGGGTGGTTGGGGCGGGTGGGGGGCGATGGGAGAACAAGGGATGGGGGGGGGGGGTGAAGTAAATTATTATTCCTCCCTTGAATTTGTTTTTGTAAATTATTTTTTTATCATGGGGAAAGATCCCCGAGATATCCGTGCGGTATCGAGGGAGTTTAACAATCACGCGGTGCTGTTCGTTGAATAAATTACTTCAACCAAGTCGCTTCGCAAAGAGGAATCTTGTCTCTTCCGGGAAAAGGAACACACCACACACTGGGAACCTCAGTGGGAACAAACAAGGGCATGAGACACACTTTGTTATGTCGAGAGAAGCTAACCTTTTGGTCACTGGGATTGAGCCGCGCTGACATACTGAGTTCCCCTAACAGAACCAACCCCGATAACCGCTGCTCAGAATTATTCTCCCACAAAGGCACGATGGGACTGAGAGATGGACATCAGGACACCCAGCCCCTTCAACACCAACTTTGCTGTGGGTTTATTCTCCTGTCCATCGCCCCGACCCGCTGCCCCACCGAGCCGGGTGCTGCTATACCTGGAGGTAAATTTCATCCGCACAGCGACCACAAGCTTAAACTTCCATCGCCGTCCGGTCTCTTTCCAAATAATCCTGGATTTCACGAAAGGAACCTCTTTGGTTTTAACCGCGGAACATGCGAAACCAATGACATCTTGCGCCAAGGTCTGAGCGACTAAATTTGGTGGGGATACAGGAGAGAGCAAGAGAGAAAAACAAACGCACCCGCACACACACACGAGAGAGAGAGAGAGAGAGAGAGAAATCCTGTCCTGTTCAGTCTCCAGCAAGGAATCAGCTGTATATGAATATATCTTTTCATCACGTCACAGGCGAGACTATTGGTCTGTGTTAGCAGACAATCACCAACAGGAAAGTACAGTGTGTGCCTGCGGTCGGCCGGTTCGCTTGCTGACTGCTGACCTGCCACTGAGTCAATAAGCCAAAGTTTAACTCACTTCCAGGGACTGGCAAGCCATTTCTCGTTAACCCTTTCAGGCCAGATTCAATCGCTGCAGCTCTTACAAAGTGCAAGGCTCGGTGTGTTTTTTTTTGGTCCTCCTCCACTCCTCCGAGCACTCGGCCAGTAACGGTTACAGGCTGGAAGAGTGGTCACTGCTCTTGTCCACAAAAGAAAAAAGGAAAGGTGACGTCTGAATCGATTCAGCAGTTCAATCCAATTTTGGCATCAACATCTCCACAGCAACGAAAGATCAAATTACAAGCCGATTAACCCAACAGGGCTCCTACTGTAATCGAGGGGTAAAGACATTAGCCGCAGCACTCTCAGAACATGATCAAGCAGCCCTGTCCACTCGAAGCTTCAGGCTAAGCAAACTAACAGTTTTATTAAGTTTGCTGAGTCACACAAGCTGCCTGTTCCTTCCTCGCAGGTAAAAGAATAAATCAATCACCATCTCTGGTGCTCACAACAAAAACAGAGCAAACAAAACTAACTTTAAGTGACAATTAAAACCGCATCAGTCACTGTGGAAAAGGCAAACTCTGGCCCCAGGCAAACCTGTATAAAGGGCAGCGACGTACAACTCATTCAAGACATACAAAGTCCAATTTTAATTGAATTCAACCAGCAATTACGCACGTAAGGTAAAATAAAAGTGAACGCGAGGAGAAATGATCCATTGAAATTAATTCAAAATTCAAATTACAATGTGGGCAGGTGGAGAGAGGATATTTCAGATTTTAAAGTCATTTATTTTTTGAGTGTATCATTTACAGAGAAACTCTGCACTGGTTCTGATAATAATAATCCTTGCATTTGATATAGCGCCTTATCACGTCTTCGAGCTTCATAGCTGCGACAGAATATACTGTAAAGTGAATTGAATGTATATTTTGTGGACGAAACGTAGCAGCTAATTGTGCACAGCAGCGTCCCACAGTCGTGGATTGAGTGACCAGTATTTATGATTTTTTTCGAAGGAATTATTTATGAAATGGTCTCGTCGTCCGAGCTGACACTCCAGTACAGTGATGGGGGTGTGCTGCATCGTCAGAGGCACTGTTCTTCAGATGAGATATTCAACTGAAGTCACGTCTGCCTGTTCAGGTGGATGTTAAAAGATTTGAAAAGAGAAGTGAGTTTCTCTCTCTCCCGGTGCCCTGAACAACAATCCCCCAAATAAAACTGCTCACTCACTTCCTGGCCACTTCCGGGACACTGCTGTGTGCAAATTGCATGATCTCGTGAACCAGTCTGGATCTTGAGCAACATGAAAACTGTGACTTTGCACTGCATTGACCCTATACAAAGACATCTGGTGATGTGTCATGCGATAGCGATGCTTCATGGAATATCTGGACCACAAAAGCAGGTTTGGTTAGCCACTGCCTTCTGCTTTTTTCATAAGACTTGTGAAACAAGAATAAGTCCGGTCTTGTTGCTGCTCCCCGACAATTTACACAGCGCCCACCACCCCCCACCACCCACCCACCCTCCTCTGCTGGAGAGAGATTGCAGACACCAGAGAAGCTGAAACTGCGAAGACATGACAGTAAAAGGTGCCGGCACCCACCTGTATCTTGCGGACGCCTTGTAATTTTCCGATCTTTGCCTCGATGGTTTGCACACAGGAGTTGCAGGTCATCCCCTGCACCGATATGGTGATGCAGCTCATTTTGCTCTTCCCTCCCATTCTTCTTTGGTTTTCACATAACTGCAAGACACGCACAGCGAGGTGAGCGGGCAGAGAAGAGGAGCAAAAATGAACACCTCGTTTCTCCTTATGGCAGTGGAGCCCCATATAGCGAGGTGGTTAGAGCGCCCGTCTCACAAGCGAGAGGACCCAGGTTCGATCCCCCCCCCGGCAGGGCAAAAACATCAGGCAAATTTCCTTGCTCCACACGCCTCGGTTTAGCTTTCAGTTAGTAGGAACCCGCTTGCTAAGTCGATTAGTGGATCACTTTACGGGAGTGATAGAGCGGCAGGTTTGCCTGGTGTTCTGGCCAGTAAGCAGAAACATCAAAGCAGGGAATTGGCTGCTCGTCTCATCGCTATGCGTGCGCTGGACCAGAGTAGCTGCCGCCTTTGAGTACAAACAAACGCTCGTTCCCTACCCTGCAAAGTAAGTCTCAGTGGGAAAAACACCGATGAGGTGTTTCAAGTTCAGACGATTTCACATATCAAATGCTCTTCGATAATCCCATTTACAGGGCCCAGCGCCTACAGCGCGAACAGACCCCACTTCCTCAGCAAAACACGGGAGTCGGGAGCTTTCTGTTGGCATCAGCCAAACTCCCCTTTAGGAGGCGCGTGCGTGTGCGTGTGTCTCTCTTTGTCTCTCTCTCTCTCTTCATAGCTTCATCCAAGCAGACTTAATGCCTTGACGTGACCTCCCCTCCCCACACATCACCCACCCCGCTACTGGATTACACCATTCTGCTGACCGTTTTCGCACTCTTAACTCTTTCCAGTTGCGCTGATCACTGACCCGTCACAAGCCTTTTGTTTGGCACTCGGTGCCAGTTTTATTGCTTGGATGAAATTGCAGTGCCCTTTAACGCTCCACATCATCTGTAACCATATTCCATCATGGCACAGCTTATTCAGACGGTGCTCGGGACACACTGTACTCACACAAAAACAATTTATTTCTGTAGGGGCTCTCTTTCAGGGCGCAATTTAATTTAAGAATTATTTCTCAATTAAAAAACAAAACAAACCACGCAAGGCTGGGTACTTGTGACAGATCGGGTTCAATCAGAAACTTCCAGATAAATCGTCCGCCTCTCCAGGTCCAGGAGTCTGAATGAACGCCGCCAACACACGGCCGGCAGTTTCCGCACCATTTCACTTTATCTCTTTTATCTCTTTTATGAAACATTTTAGCTTCTGCAGCTCGTAATGTAACATTTACAAAGTGTGCGTTGAATTGAAAAGATAACCCTGGCTTGTGAACAAAGCGACTGCCGGGCACCCTGTCTGAATCAGCTCTCCAGTTGCCAACAAACTAAATCCAGGATTTGTTCACCCCCTTCAAATACTCAAGGCCCCCCTCCGCATCGGACGGCGCCGCAGAGCGCTTCACAGTAACGGGTCCCGGAGCCGAGGAGGGGGAGGGAGGGAGGTCGGAAAGAAAGGTCTTCAGCCGAGAGCTGAAAATAGGAAGAGAGGGGGTGAGGCGAAGCGAGGGAGTTCCAGAGCCTCGGGGCGTAGTGGCTGAAGGCACGGCCGCCGAGGGTGGAGCGGAGGACTCGGGGGACGAGGAGGAGGCCAGAGCCGGAGGAACGAAGGCAATGGGCACTGTTTTGAGGAGAGAGGAGGTCAGAGAGGTCGGGGGGTGCAGAGGAGTGCAGGGACTTGAATACGAGGATCTTGAAGTGGATCCTCTCTGGGACAGGAGACGGTGCAGTCTGGCCAGGACTGGGGGGGATCGGGGAGCGGAGTTTGGAACAGGTGAGAATGTGGGCGGCAGAGTTTTGAATGATTTGGATTTTATGGATGGCGGTGGAGGGGAGGCCGGCCAGGAGGGCGTTAGAGTATTCCAGCCGAGAGGTGACAAAGGCCTGGACCAGGATTTCAGCGGCTTTCGGAGAGAGGTATTGGCAGAATGCCTCCACCACTAAGATCAGCTATCACACAACTGGGGCTCTTCAGTCAATGGAGAGATGTCCCAGAAAGGACTTTGCTTACGCAAGATGTTAAACTGGATAGAGAATGCAATCAAAGAACAGTGATCTCAGGTCCACCAAAGCATCGGAACAAAAGGGCACAGTGCAGATTTACGAAGAACTTTCGGAAAGACGCCAGAAAGTATTTTTGTTACACAGAGGCTAATTAACAATTGGAACAGGTTACCAGGAAGGACTGGTACAGCTCAACGCTGCAATGGGAAAACAGTAGGGTGGGCATTCCAGAAGGATGAGATCAAATGGGGCCAAAGGGTCTTTCTTCTTCATTTGAACCTCTTCTGTGACACCGTTGTGGGTTTTTACAGTGGAAGTGGACATTTTACAACAATCGCACAGATCTACAGCACATGCATTTCTCAAACCTTGGCGACTTCACCACAATATTCAAAAAGCAATGGTTAAATAGGCAGCATTACACAACTGTAATCTAATCTCCCAGTCTAGGTCATGTCAAACTATGAGATTAAACCTGCTGTATGCTTCAAGTCATTTCAACCCTGAAATGATAAAACGCTGATTTACAGACTTTTTGGGTGCAATATAAAGTCGTTCCAATTGGCAGAACGTGGAGGTTTATTGCCTTCCACGGTGACTGCACAGAAAGCAGCTACCAATAAACTCCTTTAAAGGTTTTCCCCAAAACCCTGAGATTGTCTCCCTTCTACTGTAAAACCCAACATTAAATATATAATATGCCACCAGCTCGGCCCAATTCAACAACAGCTACAACAACTTGCATTTAAATAGCACAACCTGAAGATCGGAAAGGAAAAGACACCAAAGTAGAGCGACAGAGGAAGAGTGTTCCAGAGTTTATGGGTGTCGTGGCTGAAAGCGCGGCCACCGATGGTGGAACGGAGGGCACGAGGGGCAAGCAGGAGGCCGGAGCAAGTCGAGCGGAGGCAGCAGATGGTGGATTTGGGGAGTAAGCAGGTCGCAGAGGTAGGGAGGTGCTCGGACACGAAGGAAAGACGAGTGTGAATAGATCAGTAGATGGAAATCCAGGTAAATAAAGTGGCCATTGACGTCCTCCCCATAGGGAAATCTGGTTTTCTTCCCCTTCAATCATCTATCTCCAACAGGTGACCTAGCCCTTATTTTATTTAAATAAAATCCCAATCATTAATCTTTCCGCTGTCACTAAGCAACCAGGAGCTGCTCAAGCACCTGTTGCCAGCAAAAGAATGGGGGAAAAAGCTCCCTGAAGACAAGACAACATCCACCTGATATCAACTAATATGTGGAAGGTTATCAAGGCACATCCCACACTAGCTTTAGGGAGATGGTGGTTTGCACCATCTCAAATACTCAATTAGATTTCAGACTGTAACTCACTCCCAGAGATCTATTTTTTAAATTATAAACCTTGCGTTTGATATAACACATCGCATCATCACCGAAACATCCCAAAGCGCTTCACAGGATTTACTGGACAGTGTAGTGACTGTGTGTTTTTGTGGCAGCCAGTTTGTGCACATGTTGCGAACACAGCCATAAAGTTAATGACCAAACAATAAATACTGTGAAGCACTTTGGAACATTGACACGATCTACGTTATAAAAATGCAAACTCCATCTCTTTCTTTCTGTAAAAATCCAACCCCCTCGATTATATTCCAGCCTCTGCTCACTCCTGGGCATGTGTTATCCTATACATAAACCATACCAACCTACCGAACAAATGTAACTCAACTGCCCTTTATACCATACACAAGCAGTAATGACATAGTATTGCAGTTTGTTATTGGCATTCACTATTATATTCCACAATCCCTGATATAACACTGGTATTAAAGGCTCCACCTGTAACAGAGAAGCTCGATGGGACACCACTCCCGACAGCACTATCCGACTAGGAAAAGATTTGCCATATTATAAACTAACATTTCTGACTAACGCCACTGTTAACCTCATTGCTTCCTCCTCATTTCTCCTTGTGAATCAGCATAAACACCGTATATACTAAGCCTGCTGGTAGGTGGGCAATAAAAGTGTTTATATAAACAGCATCAAAAGTACTTACAAATAAACAGCATCGGCAACACCCAATTCAAGTATCACTTGACATAGAATACAATACACATTTATACCAGTTTTTCAAGTGGGGAGAACGTCAAAGAGCTCAACACTACTGGCTGGACACCCGCTATTCGCACTTACGTCCAACACACACTTGCTAAACCAACCAATGTTTGTACGTAGCCGATCTGCAGTGTCAGTCACATTTCTCCCCTCTCCTCCGACCCCTCCCCTCCGCCACAACATTGTGACGGGCGCTCCTGCAACACCTGCCTCTTCAAATAAAACATTCACAAGCTCAACATTGGTCAAGGCAGTTTGTGATAAATCGCTGTGTGCAAATCGGTTGCCACGTTCGCCTACAAATTACACAGTCAGCACATTTTACAGTAAATCCCCACGAAAACACTTCGAGGACGTCTCGTCACCACCGTCAGTCGTTGCACAGGGATCGTTCTTATTCATGTCCTTACAGTTGTTTCCAGTGCAACGCAGCGAGAGAGACCTCAACTCCTCACAGCATCTCAACAACAAACTGGAATTGATTTGGAGTTTGCGTCTGAGTTTTAGGACTTCTGTCAGTCCCCCCCCACCCCCCACACAGCCCCCCCCACACAGCCCCCCACCCTACACACAGCCCCCCCCACACAGCCCCCCACCCCCCACACACACCCCCACACAGCCCCCCCCCCACACAGCCCCCCCACACAGCCCCCACCCCACACAGCCCCCCCACACACCCCCACCCTACACACAGCCCCCCCACACCCCCCACCCCACACACACCCCCACACAGCCCCCACCCCCACACAGCCCCCCCACACAGCCCCCCACCCTACACACAGCCCCCCCACACACACCCCCACCCCCCACACAGCCCCACCCCCACACACCCCCACACAGCCCCCCCACACACCCCACCCCACACCCCCCACCCCCACACAGCCCCCACACAACCCCACACACCCCCACCCCCCCCCACACACCCCCCACCCCCACACAGCCCCCCCACACACACCCCACCCCCACAGCCCCCACCCCCACACACCCCCCCACACACACCCCACCCCCACACAGCCCCCACCCTACACACAGCCCCCACACACACACCCCACCCCCACAATGCCCCCCCCCCCCCCCCCACACTCCCACACAGCGTCCCACAATGGGCACCCCCCCCTCTCTGAGAGCCACAAAACACTGACAAAAAGGTGCGTTGGGGGAAGAGCTGCGCTTCACCGAAACCAAACCAGAGCCCCCGAACCGCTCCCCCCGAGGCCCCGCGCGCGTGTGTGTGTGTGGGGGGGAGTGTGTGGGGGGGAGTGGGGGCTTTGTCCCTTACCTGAGTTTGGTGGACGGTGGAGGGGGGGGGAGGGGGAGGCCCGGTCCGCCCGACACCGACACCGGGCACAGACAGACTGACTGACTGACTGACCGCCCGGAACCTTCCTGCGCGGCCTCCGCTGCTCCGGGGGAAGAGATTGGCCGCGGGACCCCCAGCGCTCGGCGCGGCGGCAGCGAGGCGCATGCGCGGCCCCGAGACACGTGGCAGCCACTGCCACCACCACCACAACAACAACAACAACAACAACGGTCACCGCGCCCCACCCCACCCCCCCACCCCGGGCCGCGCCTCAGAGCGCTTCACCGCCACCACTGCTACTACTACAACAACAACAACAACAGCAGCAAACAATAGTAATAGCAGTCGCGGCCTTTGACCCCCGCGGGCGCCTGGACCGGGTCTTCGAGACGCCTCGAAAGCGCTTCACGGGACACTCCGTCCGGTTCAAGCGTAGTGACTGCGTCGATCCTGTGGGCGGAACGCGGCGGCCGGTCGCGCCCGGCGACACGAACGGTCCCCCCCCCCGGCGGACGGCCGTGGGCCGAGGCGGCCACGTTATTTTTATTCGTTTCCAAGGGGTTATTGCCCCCCTCGGGAAATCGATCCACCAATCGAATAACAACCCACGACCCGCTGCCGGGTGGGCAGAGGCGCGTTGCGAGGGGTAAGGAAACCTGCCCGAGGTTTCCTCCCCCGTCCGGGCATCGGATCCGGGTCCTCTCCCGCCCGCGAGGCGAGCGCTCTAACCACTGAGCCGCTGGAACTCCCACCGTTTGCGCTCTCCACATCAGTTGCCTTCTCTGGGAACGTCCCACGAGTCCAGCGTCTCTTTGTGTTTGTGATAAAAAGTTCGGTTTCGGTTTCCTTTCTTCCTCTTATAACCTTTGTCCTTTTTTGTTTTTGAACCCTTTGCAACAGTGATGAATTTTCCAGTCTGTGTGTGTGTGTTGCGCAACTGTTATCTCTTTCCGTTTTAGTACAAAGTGCTCCAAATGAGGCGAGGATGAACGTCACAAAGGCAGCTCGAGAAGAAAATTCCCAGGCTTTGCACTAACTGGGAGCTGGGCTGAGCCTCCCTCAAACTGGCTTCACATGGGACACTTCAAGCCGGCGAGGAGACTTTAATTGTATTATTGCAGGATTTATTCATTCGGAGGACTAGAGGTACTGTATAAGGATCCTCACAAAAACATAAAGTAACTACACTTGACTAATACTTTCTGTTTCACCGGGATAGGCAGCTCTAAATTTCACGTCTTCTGTCCACTTCTTAAAACACATTCCACGAAAAGGAGAAGACTGAACTTTAAAATCTTCTACAAATTAATTCACAGGAGTGTTGCTTTGTCAAGCCGAGAGAGTGTGGTAAACATGTAAGCACAATTAGGCTGATTCTGTCAGCACTTGCATGTTTAATTAAGCCATTCTATTCATGTAATAGATTCATAAAAACATTCCCTATATCAGCAAGAGTGATGCAGTCAAAACACAATTTAGTTTCAAAGCTTTCAATTGCGAATCAGGGACCAAGTTAATTTGCACATGTAAACAAGTCCACTCGCTGCCTATTCCATTACAGTAGCCCACCAGGAACCTGCACAATGTGTATTCAATTCAGATTGATTAACTGGACGGTAATTTCCAGAAGTATTCATTATCCAATACGCAACGTAGACTCATTACACACAAAAAAAAGTGCCCATTTAGTTAAGAGCAGTTCACACTTCACCTCTGTTGATACTTAGAGCTGTCACAGAATAGTTACAAACTTAGCATGTGTGAGAGACAAAGAAAATTTCCATGTATAGGTAGAATGCATAGAGCTGTTTGGTATGGATATAGTTAAGCATGGTAACGGGCTGACGCATGTGTCAGACGCATAACTGACCAAAAAAATACAGAAAATCCCAGTAAAAAAGCAAACAAGGTGAGA